AGAGCCACTCGGCCACGATACTGTAGTTTGTCACACACGAGCTCGGAGCCGCCGCTTTCGACGCCGTCGCGTCATTCAGGCCACGAAGAGCTCGAATCGCGACAGGAGCGTACACTGTGCTCGGCTCGAACGATAGATATCGACATTTTGGATATATCCTATACAATTATACCTTTACGGACCACACGCATCATGATATCTTCCTTCGCAAGGTCCAGTACACTTAGCTCTACCCCCGCCGACGTCACTAGCACTATAAGGCCGACACGAAACTCGGGTCTATTGTTGCGTCGTCATCTAGTACGGGCGGGAGCTGTTTCGTGCCTTCTTGAGGCCGCTCACGTCGCGCTCTACGGACGCTCGGATGCCTCGGGTTGCTTGTTGTTGAAGTCCTGACGAGGCCGACCACTTGCACAGACGCGAGTCTTCGCCGCCCGTGAGAAGCATGTTGTCGTCCCAGTCAATGCAGCGAACCGCCGTCTTGTGGCCGCCGACGAGCTTGGCCTGCGGCGTGAGCGACGACTCGCCGAGCGTCGCTATGTTGACCGTGCCGGCATGGTCGCCCGTCACCAGGTGCAGCTGGTCGCTCGTAGCATCGTACTTGCAGTCGATTAAATACTCGGTGGGCATCTACCAAGTTCAATAAGACAATATATACAGACAAACGAGACCGGTGTACGTGGAGTGCGTTGCACGCGTCACGGATCTGCGGGAAATGCGCAAGGCGCTGGGCCGTCGTAATGTTCCAGAGGTCCAGCGTCTCGGAGCCAGTGAGGAAAGCCATATTGTGCAGCTCGTGGCCAAAGAACGCGAACTGCGTCACCGCGCTCTCGACGTTGATGATGGAAATGATCGCGTCGTCTTCGTCGGCGATCGTGCAGTCAAAGAGGCACACGACGCCGTCTTCGGACGCCGTGACGACTTCGGACCGGCGCAGCGGGTGGAAGCGGACGCGCGTCACGTTGTCCATGTGCGACTCGCCATACTCGCCGAGCTATAGACGACAAGAGAGACAAGTCAGCCTGACGTGTCATCAGCGACGACTGGTGACCTTGCGCGCGGTCCGCGTGTCGTAAAAGACCGCCCGGTCGTTCGTGCCGCACACAACGAGCGTGTCGCCGCAGCCCATGGAGCACGTCCACACTTCGCTGCCGACGCGGATGCTCTGAGCTGGTCCTTGGTCGGTGCGCAAATCCCATAGCTTCATCGTGCCGTCGTTCGAGCCCGAGAGAACGCACCACGGCGACGTCTCGGACACGCAGACTTCGTTGATCGATGCATTGTGCGCGGCAATGACGCGGTCGCACGTCAGCGTCGATCGGCTGCGCGCCTGGAGCGTCTTGTCCGAGAGCGCCAAGATGACATGGTCCTTGGACGCAGTTGTCTTGCTATATGGCGAGGCCGTGAGGATGCGTGCCATGCTCAACGAGAATGGTACCAGTCCATGACATATTCGTAGTCCTGGTCTTCGCGTGTCATTTGCAGCGTCGCATCTTGCTTGAAGTGCGTCACCACCGTGCTGCTCAGCGCGAGCGTCTGCGGGTTCGCCAAGGCCATCTTGCAGGATTGGATCTGGCGAGATATTGCTGGCCCACAATGTGTCGCCCAATCAGCATCCAGTGTTATCCGGATGCGCAAGGTGATTGGTGCCTGCGAGATGGTCATGGCCGGGTCGACTGGGCCTGCCACATGCGCCCTGACCTGCCGCCATGGTGCGGGACATGCTTGCAAGCTACCTGCAACGTGGCAGCAGCGATAGCGAGGGCAAGCGACATGGCAGTGTCCACCGCGAGGCTAATGTCTCTTGGGCGTCTCGAGGTACACTGGACAAGTTGAGAGGTATACGCATAGATTAGAGGAGGTTCGTTCTACTACTTGGTGTAAATGGGCACGTACTCGACGACGCCGTTCTTGTTCATGCGCGTCTTGCGGATCTGGCGGAGCTGCTTCTTGGACATGGTCTTGAGCTTGTGCGTCTTGGAGATCTGCTGGACCGTCGACGACTTCATTTCGTTGGCCATTCGCCGCTTCTCCTTTTCTTCGCGCGCAATCTTCTTGTCGAGGCGCTCCTGCTTCTTGCGCGCCGCAATCTCGTGCTCGAGGTCCTTCATCTCCTTCTTCTTGGCCTTCATCGCCATCTTCTCGTCCCACGTCGTGCTCAGCGTCTTGGTCGCCTTATACGTCATCATCGACTTGCGCTGCGTCTGCGTCTTCTTCCACGGCCGGTTGCTCACGGGCTGGCCGCGGGGCGGCGCTTGCGTGCTCGGCGTGTCCTTGGCCATCTTGGAGAATGCGAAAACCTTCCGAAACTTATGCATTTGCTACGCCAACCTCGAAAGCCGCAGCCAACCAATTTCGACGCCGCGCCGAAAAATCTATTTGTGGCAGGTTTATCCGGATGATACGCATGAACGGATACGTCGCGCCAAGACGCTCACCCTGACGCTCACCAGCTCGCTGCTACTACGATAGAACGACCATGCTACCACGGCCTTGCTCAGAGTCCCTCAGTGGACAATTCGTCGTTGCACTGAGAAAGGGACTAGATTCAGAAGCTGTCCAAGGTGCTTGCTGCAGGAAACCGAGCGGGTTGGAGTCGAGCCCATATTCCTGTTACTGTTAGCAGGCGACGGCCCTGCAGATTCTGGAGCGTAGTGGAGTCTAGCTACAGTATTGTAGTGCTGGTGGTGACCTATGAGAATTGCACACACGGTGGAGTGAATGGGTAGCCGTAGTTGTTATTGCTATGGCTCTGGGACTATCTGGAGTACGATGGCGCTGGAATGAAGACGTCGCGAATGGCGGCTCGTTGGAACCGGCGACTTGTTGCTGGTCCAAATCAGTACTAGTAAGGGTTCTAGTTTTGGTTTGGAATGGGTGCGAGAACGCTCCTTCCCCAAGCGTTGCGTCGGGTTGCTTTCGTCGAGCATTCTTGCTCGTGCACCACGACTAGCACCACTGCGTGCGCGTCGACTAGCCGCCAACATGCTGCGTTGCATGTTCTCGGAGTTCATTTCTCATGCGCTCGCAGCACTCCGGTAATAGTTCTTATTGGGGAACCAGCGTCGGTGCATCACCCAAGCAAGTAGAAACTGCTCGACGCAGTCGTTTGTGGAGTGAGCAGGAGTTGAATGCACTTCTCTTCGAGTACCAAGAGGTCATGGCAGGCCGGCATTGGCATGCGCTCGGCCATGGTTGTCGTTGACCTCCGGTGAAGCTGCATGTTGAGCCTCACACGCCTGGGCGTTTGGCTGGGCGGGTGCTCGCATTAGCGGCTGAATACTCAAATCAAGATATGACAAACATTCGGAATAAAATTGTGCCATTTGCGACCGACCGCCCAATATGTCGCTCGTCGCCGACTACTCGGACAGCTCCGACTCGGACGTTGAGACGCCAGTCGTCGTCGCGCCAGCCGCCGCCGTCGCTGCGCCATGCACGGCCAAGCCCATCGCGCTTCCATCGGCCGACGATCTCTTTGCGGGAACGGTCAAGCCGTCGAGCGTCTCTGCGGGGCCGAGCTTCCTCGCCCAGCGCCAGACACCCAAGCCGACCAAGCGCGCGCTCGACGAGCCAACGGTAGCAGCGCCAACAAAGAACGCCAAGGTCAAGACGCGGTCGCTACTGCCGCCGCAGCTCCGGAACCAAAGGCCCAACGTCTCGACCGAGGACCTCAGGTACAGCCCGGCGAATTCTTCGAGCCGTCTACTGACCCTTCTTTGTGCTAGTGCATGGAACACGCGGCAAACCATGAGCCATCAAACGAGTTCTACTAAGAGTCAATAGACGACGCGGTTCCTGCAGCAGGTAGCCCCGGTGGCTTGGTCGCGATCACTCGGGTTGCTCCGAGGGCACCGTGGATTGTCGCCGGCTCGGCCATCGCGCCGGCGGCTCAACAGGACAGTAGGAAAACGACGATATATTCGAGTCACAGCGACTCTGGGTATAGTCGTGGAAGAGTACGGGACAGGCAGGGCCGGCCATTCGTTACTGCGGCGCAACATCCTCTGTCGCGACGTTGTGGGCTGGCGCCGACGCCTCGCGCTCATCCTCTTCGTCATTGATGGCGGCCACCACAACGGGCGGTGCAGCCTTGGGCGGCTCTGGTATGACCACGTCGGGTTTTCGAAGCGAGGCCAGGAGCGCGCGGATGCCCTCGAGCTTCGCTTGCAGCGCTTGGACGCGCGACGGAAACTGCTTGAGGCGCGCCGCATACCCGACGAGCGGCGACGTGGTGTCGGCGCCGCCATCCAGAAGGCCCATGAGCTCGGCGATCTTCTCCTGTAAGCTCTCTTGCGTGTCCAAGAGCATGCCGACGTAGCCGTCGCACTTTTCGATCTTAGGCCAGAGCGCCATGTACATGCCCACGGCGAGGTGCGACGCAGAGGTCTCTGGCGGCAGCATCGTCTCGCTCTCGTCGTCCATGTGTCGTCCGTCGGCCTCGCAGATCATGCTCTCGACGGCGGTCCTTCGGGTCCTGGCGCCGCCAACCGTGTTTTTGGGCCGCGATTCTTTCGAATGGCACATCCATTGTATTGCATACAAATCGAAAGAGACACCACTCTATTTTAATACAACGCGCCGTGGCCACCAACCACTTCGAACTTCGCATTCAACACTTCGGTCCCGGCTACTTCGATTCGAACCCACACGTGGCACGCCCACAACGCATCCCTCGCATCCGTAGGCAAATGGAACCCACGGTTCAGCGACCATCCTCCCGCCCTGCACTGGTCATCCTCATTGAAGGCTCCGGCGTGGGCGAGGCTGATAGCATGGTGCCTGCTCCTCACAACCACCACCAACAAAGAACCCGCCGCTGGCGACCCTTCCAGTGTCGTCGTCGACGTCGCCGCATGTCCCACGGCGCGCGATCTCTCGTTCTGCCGCCCATGATCGATAGCGATGTCCCCGTCGCCGTCGATGGCCAAGTATTACACGTGGGCTGCAGTAACGAGCGTTGTGGCTGCAGGTATGGGCGCTCTACCACGGCGACGCGGTCCCGTCCATGTCCTTGTCGCGAACGGCAAAGTCCTAATCGAAGCGCATTAGCTAATGCGGGCCAGTGCGCTTGTGCGCAGTCTCTCCCGCGTCTGGCGCTAGAAAACCGAAACATCCGGATACGACAGGTCCTAATTAGGCGCAAATACCCAATCTATGGCGCGGTATCCGGGCGAAACAAGGCGTAAGGCCAGTGCATCCTAATTCCCAAGATGACGGGCGGCCGACCAGGCGATCGAGGCGCCGCAAGCCGCAGCAATAGCCTGCGCGGGCCGGCGCCGTACCTGCACAGTGCCCGCGAGGAGCAGCTCTACAAACTCGTAAGTGACCTTAGCGAAGCATGTCGTCAAGACAACAATGCAAATGCTCTTCGGGATATGCATCTCATCGAGAATCTGGAGAAGAGCGCCAAGGACATTCTGTCGCACCGCTCCAACAACAACAGCTCGATGATCGAAGACAAGCGCCGGCGCCTCTCGGTCGAGCGCAACGCCAACAGCGACGACGAAGGCGCGCGGCTCGGCCGCGATCGCAGTGCGCCACAGCCGACCGCGCCGACCCGTTACAACATGCCCACGTTTTTTTCCAGATCGAATCTCGGCCCGAGCATGCGCGGACCGCCGGCCAAGCCCGCCCGACCGCCGGCACGCAGCAACGGCATGGCCGCCTTTGACGATGACGACGACGACGACCACATCCCCGACTATGCGTCGCGTGAGACTGCCATCAACGCCCGCGACGCGCTCTGCTCGCTCGATGCGCTCTCGACCGACGAGCTCGACATGCTCGGGTCGTCGAGTGCCTACGGCGATGGCAAGGTACACCCTCCTTCGTTCTTGTCGCGACAGAACTCATGCGGTATAGCGTATGAATGACGACGAGGACATTGAGAGCATTATGAACCACGCCAAGGGCAGCGTCTTGAACCAATATGGCCCGCCGTCGCCGTACGGGCAGCCGCAAAAGCCGCGCGCCAACAGCCGCGAGATCTTTCGGCAAACGACCGTCGACGCCAAGTCGCGCAAGGCGACGACAGCACCGACCAAGACGTCGAGCCAGAGCATGGTGCAGCAGCGGTCGGCGACGTTCCTCGACACGCCCAAGAAGACATCGGACGGCAACTGGAAGGAGGGCGGCGACTACGTATACACGCACCTCGGGTCCAAGATCTTTGGCAAAGCGACCAAGGACAAGCTCATCTCCGTCTCGTCGTCGTCGCTCGGCCCTCGGAGCAAGCCGTCCTTTGCCGACCCAAAGCTCTCGGAGGTCGCGTCGCCGCAGGCCAAAGTGAGTTTGATGGGCCGCAGCACCGGTAGCGGCGACTCGTACGGCGGGTCCGAGTCGGACGAAGGCTACCTGCCGCTGCGCGGGTACCAGTACCAAAAAGAGGCAACCTCGTCCGACACGAGACGCCTCGACGTCCTCGAGCGCGATCGTAACGCGCTGCAGGAGCGGCTGCGGACCATGGAAGCCGACTTTGCCGCCAAGATTGCGGCGCTGGAGGCGTCGGTCGTCGAGAAGGAGGCGCGCTGCGTGTCGCTGTCTGACCAAGTGATGACGGCCAACGCCGCCACCGAGGCGCTCAAGCTCGAAGTTGTGGCCAACGATGCGACGTGGCAGACGCAGTTTGAGGCCGCGCACGCGTCATTAGAGGCGACGGTCGCGCGTCTTGAGAAGGAGAAGCATGCGCTTCTGTCCCGGCTCGAGACGTACGAACCCAAGCGGCCGTCCAGTGTCAACCTCTTTGCCCAGCGCATCATTTGGCACCTCAAGGAGATTCTGCGCGAAGACGAAGCCGACACGGCATCGGCAAGCAGTGAGCTCTCGGAGGAAGCGCGCGCCAAGGCCACGCGCGTCGCAGCGCTTGTCAACCGATTTGAAAAGTCGAATGCGCAAGTGCAAGCCAACTTTGCGCAGCAGCTGCGGCACGACATCAAGACCATCGGTATCCGTGCGTTCGAGGAGCACCCGGAGAACGTCGCTTCGAAAACCAAGCTCTTGGATACGATTGCAGAGCTCCAGGCGCAGCTCCGCGACCAGAGCCGTGCCATGGACGCGCTTGCAGAGGAAGCCAAGACCCAGCAGAGCCAGCTCGAAATGGCGCTTCAGACCGCGATGGAGCGCGATGCCGACGTGATGGACCTCGAGTCGCAGATCCAGCGTCTCGCGCAGACCAACGACGCGGCGGCCAACGCGGCCCACGATGCGACGCTGGTGCTGCTCAAGGACAAGACGTCGCAGCTTACGGAGGCGCACACGGCCGTGACGCAGCTCGAGGCGGAGGTGGCAACGCTCCACGAACATGTGGCCCAGCTCACGAGTGCGGTCGCGGCGCGGGAGAAGGACCTCTCGGCGGCCCGCGCCGCGCTGGTCTCTGCGACGAGCGACAGCAACGAGGCCAACCATGTGGCGGAGCTCACGCAGGCACTCGAGACCGCGACACAAGCCCACGCGACGCAGCTCCGGGCCGCGTCGACCAAGGCCCAAGACGAGATTGCATCGTTGAAGGCCCGGATCGTTGCGCTCTCCAAGACGTCGAGCACCGATGCCGCTGCCTCGGACGCGCTGACGGCAGCCAAGACCAAGATCGCAGCGCAGGAAGCCGAGCTTTCGACGCTGGAGGCGACGATCGAGGACCTGCGGCGGCAGCTCGAAGACGCGCTGGCGCCGACGATCAACCCGATGCCGGCCGACGAGTGCGTCAAGAGGGTTCGCTTCGAAGACGATGTCCTCAAAAGCGCCGAGTCGACATCGACGGTCCATCTCCAGCACATCCTCAAGAAGCGCGACGAAGAGCTGCATGACCTCAAGACGGAGCTGTACGAGCGCGCGTGCGACGTAAACGCGCTGCGCGCCGAAGTCCTCGGCAAAACCGAGACGATCGAGCACTTGTCCAAGAAGCTGGCGGCCAAAACCAACCCGAGTCTCGACAAGCCGGCACCGACGTCGACGATGCTGGTGGCTGCAAACCCGCAGACCACGTCGATGTTGTTGGCCAACCCGGACATGGCCAAGATGGAGATGTTCCTCTTCAACTCGCTCTGCGCCAAGCAGCAGGAAGTCGACGACCTGCTCGTCGAGCTCGATCGCCGTGAAGAGGCGGTTCGCGCTGTGTGCGCGGCCGAGATCGAAGCGCTCCAAGCCGAAGTCAAGGTGCTGGAAGAGCGCTACACGGAGATGTCGACAGCGCTCAAGCTCGCGCACGAGCAGCAGTCGCACCTCGAGACAGAGACGGAAATGCAGCTCAAGAGCATCGAAAACAAGCAAAAGCAGATCAAGTCGCTGATTTCGCTCATGGCCGAGAAGGAGGCCGAGCTCGCCGAGCTCGACGAAGCGCTCGCGATCGCCGAGATGCAGGTCGAGCACCTCAAGGCGCAGTACCACGTGACGTTCACGATCGAGCAAGAAGAGGCCTTTGCGACGGCGTACGAGGAAGGCGGGCGCATGAGCTCGTTCTCGATGAAGGCTGGCCGCGAGTCGTTTGCGGAGCGCGGCAAGTTTTTTGAACGCATGAGCCTGCACATGGACGACTCGGACTTTGAGATTGAGGACCTCGCGCCGTTCCGGTCCCGCGCCAGCTCGACCAACTCGCTTCTCTCGGACAAGGGCACCAAGCCAAGTACGAGCAGTACGTCGGCGGGGCTCAATTCGGCGGCGGCCGCACTGAGTGCCACCAGCAGCAAGCCGTTCGAAGACGACATGGAGTACGGGTCGCCGCGCTTCAGCTGCCTCAGCTACGGCTCGGCCCGCGACTCGAACATTTCCGTGACCGAGTGGGACCCCGAGTTTTAACAAGTCCTACACTACTATCTATGCCACACAAAACATAAAGCGCACGAGGCGCAGCGACCGAAGCTGCGTTCGCGTTGACCTATTCGTCCCTTACCTAAACCCTAATCCAGCACAAAGCGTGTCCGTTCTCTCGTCAGTCTTGTCATTGTCTATGAGGATACTAGTCATATTGGTGTTAACACCTTGTGACGTAGGACGCCCGAGTGACTGTCATGACGGCGCGACGGTGAATATGAGAATCGTGGCGCACGGCCAGGTACGTACGCGCAACGTAGAACGAGGAGAACGAGAAGCACCGACGTGCCAACGTCTGGTCTAGTGACCCCAAAAGCGCCAGACGCAGCTCCAGTGTCCTTGTCAGTGTCATTGTCATCCATGTCCGACCAAGACGCCAATAGATCGCAAAAGTTTGGGGCCCACGCAAGACGACGGATGCTCTGCCGCGAGCAGGAGGGTTGTCGTCTTGTTGATAGGCAGGGAATTTTCCCTTTTGGCCGGCTCACTAAAGACGCAAGGCGCCAGGAGGCGGCATGGAGCAAACGAGCACCAAGCCCGAAAGGTCGAGCGCAGCGGTCGGTCGTGAAGAAGCGGTCGACCACCGATATTTTGTCACTTGGACCGTCTCGAGATCATCTGTCGCTTGTCGAACGGGCGCAAAGCGTAGCTGGCGAGGCTCACCACTGGCCCTAGCACGGTGTTGAGGCGTGTATCCTCGACAACGAGTCGACAAGACGCCGTCGTCCGAGCAAGGATAATTCCGTGAGGGTTACTTTGACTCACGTCAGGAATACATAGATGCCTACGAGAGGTTCCACATAAGACAGAATAAACTATAGACGACACCTTGCCAACTGTGTGCTTTTGACGCTGGTAAGGACGCCGGCCCACCGAGACCTTGTGTCGGCTGCCATCACCATGAATGAGATTGTCTCATCTTGACGGTTTCACCCAATCACTTCCGGGCGTTTCATGACGTGGCACTCGGAGTCGCCTTTTCGCATGCAGCCTTTGCGCGAGCCGAGAACGGCGGGTCGGCAGAGCAATGCTCCTATGTATCGCTTGGCCGCTGCCAGTATAACGTACTAGTAGCGCAACTCGGACCTTATTTCATATATTCACACTATATTACGACGACACATTGTCCTCGCTCTCGAGTAACTTGCGACTGCATCAAGCGCCGAGCCAATGGTTCTGGCCAAACTGCCAGCCCATAGTCGCGCCGGACGAAATCCCGAGGAAGAGTCCGAGGACGAGGATCGCGCCAGCCGACTCGCGGTCTTCTTGGGCCACCAAGCGTGGGCCGAGCCCGATCGTGATCGTGCTGAGGATGCCCGTGGTCATGCCCAGCGCAAAGTTGACAAAGAGCTGCCAGAAAATGTTGAAGTCGTGGGCGGCACCCATGCAAAAGAGCGGGTTCTGGCCGCCGCCGGGGAGACCCAGCAGCAAGCACACAAACAAGAGCCAGCGCGCGACCGACCAGAGCAAGCACGTTTTGATTGTAAAGTACTTGTACGCACTTGGCGCGAGAAGGCGGCCGAAAAAATCGCCATAGTTGTAGCTCAAGAGCACGCCGTTGACGTACCAGCCGCCCCACGTCGCAGCGCCCGCGAGCTGGAAGCCAGACGAAATGCCAATGCCCGGGAAGGCCGTGAGCGAGCACAAGAAGATGACAAACTGACACGCAAACGGCACAGCGATGACGCCTGCGATGCGCCACAGGCGACCCCACAGGACGCGCAGCGGCTCGGCCTCGCGCGCGGCGGTCGCGTCGTCGTTGGCCGCCATGAGGTACGCGACGCCGGGCAGCGACAGCACCTTGCGGAAGACACACACTGCGGCGCCGCACACGACAATGAGGATGCTAAAGAAGATGTAGAACGAGACCTTCTGGATCGACGCGGTCTCGGAAGCAAGCGGGTGCAAGCCGCCGACGCAGAGCTGGATGAGCGTGCTGATCGTAACGTTGAGAAAGCCGGACGTGCCATTGCCGAGCTGGACCGCGTTCGTAAAGGTCGCGTCCGGAAAGAGCGCCGAGAGGCTGTAGAGCGACGCTTCCGCGAGCGAGTTGGTCAAGCCGACGACGCCAAACGCGACCAGGACGACGATCGCGCCAGACTCTGGCGATGCGTCGCAGGCGTCTTGGAGCAAAATCGCGATCGCGCAGAGCGCGTAGAGACTGTACCCGATGCACACGCGGCGCCAGAGCCCGAGCTTCTTGTCGAGGCCAAAGAGGATCTGCACCAAATGGCCCACAAACATGGGCCACGTCGAGACGGGCGTCGTCAGATACGCAAAGTTGAAGGACGTCGACGCAAAGCGCGACTGGTAGTAGTTTTGGGCCGACAAGCACGTGTAGTACGCCCAGAGACACGACGCGTTGAGGAAGAGGAGCGACCACCAGAGAAATCGCTTGTGGGCCGCGAGCGACTCGAGGACGTGCGTCGGGAGCGCGAGGCCGTCGTCGTTGACGAGGTACACCTTGGTGAGCGGCGACTGGTCGAGCATCGAGGCGAGAAAGCAAAAGCAAAAGCAAAAGTGAGCCCGTGACAGCGAGCGAGGGCTAGCAGAGTTGGCGGCCAGCTGGCGTTCGGAAGTACCTTGAAGCGCGTGACGCAGTGTGTCTGCATTGCGTGAGATGTACTAAGTAGCTGTCCCTTGACAGCGATGTGCTAGGGGATAGGCTACGGCGTGAGCAATGCAGCGCCGTGGAGATGGTCGACGCGGCCAAAGAGACCTGGCAAGATATGTTTGGTATTGCGGGGACATTGAATATGGACGTGTCCTTGAAAGTCGAGCTGCTGACGTCTCGGGTCCTGGCAGCACCAGCGACGACGCTTGCATCGATGCGGGGCGCGTCACGCTTGCGATCCGCTGACGACTCTGCGAGGCCGGTTCGAATACCCCACGTAGTGGCCCGTCGGTGGCGAAGGCAAGACCTATCTACCTGATCGGCGCGTTGCGTCAGCTTCGTTCAAGGTACTCGCTCGTATTCGGTTGTATCTTCAAGGATCGCCAGATCGTTTCCGCCAATCCTGTGCCGTAAAAAATGACGTGGCGCGCTTTCGTGGTGCCAACTGTGGGATGCGGGTGATTCCTGGTTTGCGTCAGTGTCGCAATGATCCCTTGGTGAATTGCTCTCGTCGTCCTTCAAGATTGAGGTGATCGGCACGGGTGTTTCCTTCGTTGCGGTGTGAATCGCTTCGATCGTAGCAGCCATTTTGCGTCACACAACAGTATTTGCTCAACCAATACGATGACCAAGCGCGAACGGCCATGCAGCACGACGGCCGGGATGCCAACTCGCTTGACGGCGCTCGATACGCAGCTACAGCTCAAGGACTTTGAGCTCGCGTCCAAATAAACACTCTAGGATCGCCTGGAGACCGCACGGTTGGCGGTTGAAGCGCAGTGCGCAGCGGCTACGATCGAGCGCTCGACGCCTGCTAGCTGCTGTCGCTCGTGATCCAATTTGAGCAAAAGGAAAACGCAGTGCTCAAGGACGTGAATGCGATACGCTAGCGAGGTGTCCAAGGCCGTCTCATCGGTTGTTTGTCGACCGGCCTGGACGTTTTCCGGATACTATTCCGTAACTCAAACCATCGAATGCAGTACACGTCAATTAGTGTTACTGTATACTTTAAGCAAGACGGCGGTACACACGAATTAAAGTCCCGCCAAATCGAACAAGTGGCCAATCACAGGTATTTTTAGCTCGCGCCTTTGCGTCCGACCAGAGTGGCATGGCGGAGCTGATGACGCCGCCGCCCGCCCGGTCGTCGCCGCCGCTGACGCCGCCCGTGACAACGCGATCATCGTCGTCGAACCCGCTGCAGATGGTCATCCAGCGCCTCCAAGGTGAGTGCGAGACGCTGCGTGCTGAGAAGCGCGAGGTCGAACGCAAGCTGTCGCACGAGCAGCAGAAGGCGGCGCGCGTCCTCATGGAAGGCAACGAGATGCAGCGGCGCTGCCTCGTCGAGAACCAAAAGCTACAAAGCGACGTGATCCATCTCAAGGAAAAGGTGCGGGAAGCCCACGGCAGCATCGAGGTGCTCACCGAACGCATGGCGCGCGCCGAACACAACGAGCGCCAGACCAACGAGCGCTGTGCGACCTTGTCCGACATCATCAAGGACCTCGAGGCCGAGGCCGACCGCGCGCGCCGGACCATCTTTCACTTTGAGCAAGAGGTCGAGCGTGCCAAGGTCACTGTCGCCCACGCGACAGCTGAGCGCGACGACGTTCTCGAACGCACCGAAGCCGATGCGAAGCGCGTACGGCAGCTATGGGAAGAGACGCTCTCGCAGCACGCTGCGCAGCTTCGATCCATCGAAGATCAAGCAGCCAAGGCGAAGCGCGAGGCTGCCCACCACGCCAAGCGCGGCGCCGACAAATCTGCGACGATCAAGGAGCTGCAGGACAAGGTCGCTGCCGCCACGAGCACGATCGCCCAAGACGCCCACCGCTATGAGGTACATGAGGAGCCTCTACCATTCAACTTCTCGACAAAAGTTCACATACCTAGCGACTCGAGCGCGACTTGAAAACGACCAAGACGGAGCTGCGGCATGTCCAAGAGCAAAACACCAAGCTGACCGAGTCGGTGCAGTCGATCGCTATGCAGCTCGAGACCCATGTCAGCATGCTACGCGCCACCGAAAGCCGGCTCCACGAGGCAGCGGAAGACGCCGAAGTCCAGCGCAGGTTGCGGCTCGAGAAGGAAACCCAGCTCGATGACGTCCTCGGAGAGCTGGACGCACTTCGCTCCGAGTTTGTGACGAGCCTCGACGCCCACGAAATGCAGGTGTCGGAGCTGCAGCAAGAAATGGCGCAGCGCTGTAGCGACCAGGCACAGCGCATCGCGGCGCTCGAGGCCGAGCAAAAGTACGCTGCGTCCGTCTCGGCGATGCTTGGCGGGCACATTGGCGACTACAACAAGGTACTTACCTCGGTCAACCACAAGCTTGCCGACATGCACGATCGCATGGAGCACGAGCCGCCCGAGACCGCCAAGCCACCCCACACGCCACGACGACCGACTGAGGACACGTCCATGAGCATATTTGCACACTAATGTCAATGCACCGACTACACGCTACCTACCAGCTGCGAGCTACGAGTTCTTAGTGCATATATTGCTGTTGTATGAACGGCGACGGAAAATGACATGTACGTGGGCGTGCCACGTACTGTGGCGCAAATAACCTGTAAAAACATATCGTTTTTCGTAAATATTCGTTTGTACAGTGGCGCCGAGCGACGGCCGCCCGTGTTTTTGAACAGAATTCTTGCCACAGCAGCGGCGACGACGAGACTAGCGATGGCGGACGCCGAAGGTACGAGCGTTGCCGCCCATGGCCGTGGCTCATGGCAGCGATGGTGGCGCAGGAGAGACCGCGATCCAGAACTCGTACTGCTTCTGGTACATGAAGAAGAACACGGGCGGGAAGGCGGCGGTATGTGGCCGACGAAAATCACACCCTACTATCTCTATCAGCTGGATGACCAGGAGAGCTACGAGAAGAGCATCAAGGAGCTTGGCGAGTTCAAGACCGTGCAGGGCTTCTGGCGCCTGTACAACCACCTCATTCGGCCCAACGATCTCCCCAACACAACCGACTACCACCTCTTCAAGACGGGCATCAAGCCCATGTGGGAGGTACTACGACGCGAGCAGCATGCATGGTGCCAACACTTGACCATTGTAGGACGCGGCGAACCGTCGTGGCGGCAAGTGGATGATTCGCATTCGCAAGGGTGTCTCGTCGCGCTACTGGGAAGACCTCGTACGCCTCTCTCTCTCGTCTTGGCGCGCGTACGATGCATATGTGCGTGTAGGTGCTGGCGATCATTGGCGAGCAATTCGACGTCGGCAACGAGATCTGCGGCGCCGTCATGTCCATTCGGTACAACGAGGATATCATCTCGCTTTGGAACCGGAACGCCGACAACAACGAAGCCTGCTACAGAATACGGTACGTTTGGCGATTCTGACGCGCTTGTCCGAGTGGAAACCTAGCGATACCATGCGCAAGCTGCTCAACTTGCCGCAGTTTGTCGTGCTCGAGTACAAGCGCCACGACACGTCGCTCAACGACAACTCGAGCTTCCGCAACACGACGGTGTGGCGCACGGGCGAGAAGGGTGTCCGCACGACCGACGAGAGCGAGGCCACGCCCACAGGCGAGACGCCGAGCGCCCACCCACGCCATACGCGCGAGAGCGGCCATCGGTCGTCCAACATGGACCGTACCAACACGTCCCGGGGCAAGCAGCGCGATGGCAACGCGACGTCGACCCGCGGCGCATGGACGCGCGACCCGACGGTCCGCGAGCAGCCAAAGAAGAACCGGTCGAGCAGCTTTTCGCAAGACGAAGACGGGTGGCAGACGCAGCACTAGCGCGCGAGACCCATACCTCCTCCACCTCATCCTAGTACACATACGATCGATGACCTCTGTCGCAGCTATGTTCGACGCAGGCCAACGGGTTCTATTACGATATACAAAGCGGTCTATGCCTCGGGCGCAGGCGAGGACGTCGCGGCGGGTGCGTCGGCGGCCGGCGCCGGCGTCTCAATGCCCGGCGGCATGCCCACCTTGCGCAGCGTGTCGTTGAAGATGTAGACGCCCGAGACGCCGCCGAGGACGACGGCGATCGCGACGTCCAGCAGCGGCGTCCGGCGGCGGATGCGCGGCTGGAGGCGGAAGTGGGGCGTCTTCCCGGAATTCATTGGCGGCTCGGCTTTCCGGTTCTGCCGGGTGCAGCGACGTGTGGCGAAAACATGTCTTTTCGCAGTTTACCACGAAATACCACGTGAAAAACACCATCGAGCAACCTTCATAAATGAATATTTACACTCCTCTCGATGTGAGGTGCTTCTCGCCGTCGCGCCGCCGTCATATCCGATAGCACATTATAGTACAAAAAGAATGCGAGGTAGACAATAATGCTAATGTGTGTTGCTTGCAGGCGGCGCTCTGGCCAAGGCCGTGGTCGTATGGTGCGCAACCGCGCCTTTTTCACACACACTGTGTATTTTCCACGTGTATTTTCCACGTGACAGAATTGGCAGCACAACACGAGCACGTGGGGTCGGTCAGATGAACCCGTCGAGCAGCGCGTCGCATGCGCTCGTGTCGATCATCAAGCTCGCGGGCTCGGTGCAGGGCGCGCTCCTCCGCGTGGGCGAGACGTACATCTTGCTCAACTGCGGCGACCCGTCGCCGGCGGCGCCGACCGCGATCACGTCCATGACCACGATGGGGCTGCCGCAAGGTAGCATTGTGAGCGCCGTCTTGATCACGGACTGGCGCATCTCGAGCTGCGGCATGCTGCCGCCGTTCCTCTCTGTCTACAACACGCACCACAACCGGCGCAACAAGGACAAGACCAACAAGGTGCCGCCGCCAACGGTCTTTCTGACGCACGCGACGCGCGCGCTGCTACCGCACATTCTGCGCGAGACCAAAGGCGGCGACTGCAACGTGTCGTTCTTGAACGACAGCGCGATCGCGGCCGTCTCGTCGCTCGCGTTCGACCAGCCATGCGTGCACACGGACCCGCGTGGCACACAAATCACGATCACGGCCCACCGCGCCGGCCACGTCGCCGGTGGCGCCCTCTACACGATCGAGGTCGACGGCACGCAGGTAATATGATGACATCAGCATCCTACTTCTCTCTTGTCAACGGCCATGATGACACTATGGACGCTAGGTGGTGTTTGTCGATGGGTTCAACCTCCACGGCTCGCGCGTGCTCTTGCCCGCGAGCTTGCCACCGCGGCCACCGCACATTGCGCTCATCCGCGGCAACTACTCGGTGACAGTCTCCGAGACGCGGACCGTCATCGAGCGCGAGTTTTGCAAGGTCATTCATGACGTGATCAACCTCAAGGGCAAAGTCGTGATCCCGGTCTTTGGCGTCGGCTGCTTCTTCCACGACATTCTCTCGCTGCTCACCGACTACTGGGTGCGCATGGAGCTCACGCACGTGCCCTTGTACGTCACGTCCGACACGCTCCTGCACCAGCAAGCCAACCCGTTCTACCACGCACTGCTTCTCGACTCGTACACGGACGCATTTGGCCGCCGGACGCGGCTGCCTGTCTACAAGCTCCCGAGTCTCCAGACGCTCCAGGAGCCACACACGCCCATGATCGTCTTCTCGGAAGGCGCGTCGCTCACGGCCGGTGACACGGCGGCGGCGCTCCAAGCCATTGGCCAGCACGTCAACAACCTCCTCGTGCTCTCCGAGTTTTGCACAAAGGGCACGATCAACCGCTCGTTTCTCAACAACGAAGTGTGCGCCGAGCTTTCCAAGGCCTTCCATGCGTCCATTACCTGCCGCGTGCACGAACTCCCGAGCGGCGAAGAAGTCGACGCGCGCGACGTGGCCGAGCTCACGCGCCAGCTCAGCCCGCGGCACCACGTGGTCTTGGCCGGCGTCGACGACGGGCACATCGCCTGCTTCCACGAGGCAATTCCAAGCGCGAGCCGACTCACGCCCTTCTCCGTCCTTGGCGATGACGACCTCGTGCTCAGTGTCCCACGAGACATTGGCGTCCGCGTCCGCTCCAACGTCGCGTTCAACCGCGGCCCGATGACGACGCTCCTTGTGGCCGAGCCGCGCAAGAAGATGGCGGTCTATGGCGAGAGCAGTCTCCGCCGCCTCAAGAAGAAGCGCCATACGCTCGAGTACGACCACTCGTGGAAGTACCCGAAATCGTCGGCGATCTCCAAGCGCCCGAAAGAGTTCAAGAAGCGGTCGGGCGGCGCAAGCTTCATGCTCCAGGACCTCCTCGTGAACGACGCCCCCGACTCGGACGACCCGGAAGAAGAGATGCAAGCGAACGTGAGCGACGTGCACGATGGCATCTACCACGCGCTGCACCAGTGGATGGGTGTCGCCAAGTACCCGATCGAGCGCCGGCCCATGAGCGTCGAAGTCGGGTCCGTGCAAGTCGACGTGAGCACCGACTGGTCCATCAACATGCGCTGGTCCGTCGACGACGAAGAGCTCGCGAGTCGCGTCTTTGGCCTCGCTCAGCGCGTCGTGCAGCAGCAGTACGGCGAGGCTCACAACCACTCGTACCACCACTAGCACCACTTCTACATAATACTACATGCTTCATGCTGCATTCATCGATGCTACTACACGCAGAGGGTCGATGGCGGTCCATTGAACGGCGATGGCCTCATCGAGCGCGCGTTTCGCACCCGACACGTCGCGAAGGGCGTCCATATGTAGCGAGGCCATGGCTGGCGTCGTCTTCTGGGGCCGCCCTCCATGCCACCTGGCGCCTGGCGCTAGCTCGGCTTGGACGTGCCGCAGATTTCGCGATCTTCCGAGATCCTCTTAAAGTGAATACCTGGTATTTATGTTCTTATAGAGGTACAACGAAAGCAGCAGCACCCCAGAAGCAAAGGAGCCGCCAACAAAGCAGATCCACGATGAACATGGCGTCCGGGTACGGGTATGGCAGCGCTGGCAGCAGCAGCGCGACGCAGTTCGACGAGAGCAGCGGCTACAACCTCAAGGCCGGCGAAGTGAGCTCGGGCACGACGATCATTGCGGTCAAGTACGCGGGCGGCGTCGTCCTCGGCGCTGACAGTCGCACGTCCACGGGCACGTACGTGGCGAACCGCGTCTCGGACAAGCTCACGATGATCCACGACCGCATCTACTGCTGCCGGTCGGGCAGCGCGGCCGACACGCAGGCGCTCTCGGACTATGTGCGCCACTTTATGGCGTCGCACGCCGACGAGCTCGAGGGCGACGCGTTGCCCAAGGTGCACACAGCCGCCAACTTGTTCCGCAAGCTCTGTTACGAAAACAAGGACCGCTTGATGGCCGGCATCATTGTCGCCGGTTACGACGCCGTCAAGGGCGGCCAGGTGTACTCGGTGCCGATCGGCGGCGCGTTGGTCGAGCAGGAAGTCGCGATCGGCGGGTCGGGCTCGACGTATATCTACGGTTTTGTCGACGCGCACTGGCGATCGGGCATGACCAAGGAAGAGTGCGTCGCATTTGTCCAAAAGGCTCTCTCGCATGCGATGGCGCGCGACGGCAGCTCGGGCGGCGTCATCCGCACGGTCACGATCGACGCCAACGGCTGCGAGCGCGGCTTCGTCGCCGGCGACAAGCTCCCGTTCATCTTGTAAGCGCGTGTTATAACAACAACAACAACACGATCCTGCATGCTACACACGGTCTTTTTTGTTATATAACGTAGGAGGAAACTAGTGCTTTTGCTCTTCCATGCTCTTGCGGATCGTATAGTCGCGGAGCGCGCTCACAATCTGTAGAAAGGACGGACGGAGCTCGGGCTGGCGCGCCCAGCACGCCTTCATGAGCTGCGCCAGGAACGGCGGGCACGTCTTGGGCACGACGGGGCGGAGGTTGCGATTGAGGACGCCGAGCGCCGCCTGGATCTGCGTCATCCCGTCGTACGGGCACTCGCCCGTGACGCACTCCCAGATGACGATCCCGAACGAGAAGACGTCGGCCTTCTCCGTGTACTTTTGGTTGCCCAGCACTTCGGGCCTAATGGCCATATTGGACATAAGTCGTCCGTGCTAGAGATGACGAGAATCGACGTACGCCATCCACTGCACCGTGCCGCAGTTGCCCGTCATCGTCTGGACATGCGCCTTGACACGCGAGAGGCCAAAGTCCGAGATCTTGATCGCGTAGTTGCGGTCGACGAGCAAGTTGGGGCTCTTGAGATCACGGTGCAGGATCGGCGGCTGGAAGTTGTGCAAATAACTCATGCCCTTGGCCGTATCGTTGATGAACCTTGCGGTGCATGAGTCCCTTGCCATACGCAGTAAGAGGACGCGTACCCGATGCGCATGAGCTCGTCGATCGAGCGGCTCGTGCGGAGCACGCCCCAGAGCGACCCGCGCGGCAGAAGCTCAACCACCAAGCACCGGTTGGGTGGATCTATGCAGGCGCCAAGGAGCCGGCAAATGTTCGGGTGCCTACATGCGGTCTCCTTCCATCTTTGCTCTGGTGAATGAGGAGTGCACGCACCGGAGGACACTCATGATTTCGACTTCGCTCTGGAACTCTTCGAGGATGTCTTGGCGCAGTTCTTGGCAGATGAGGAGCTTGACCGCCACCGGACGGTCGCGCCACTTGCCTTCGTGGACTTTGCCAAAGGCGCCTTCACCGATGACGCGGCCGAGCGACACTTCACTGAAATTGATGTTGCGCGACTGCACCGGACGCCCGACGGCTGGTGCGGCATGGGGCGTTGGGGGCTGCACCGGTGCCGGCGCCGGACGCGCGGGTGCGGCCTCGGGCTGCGCCGGCGGCTTCTCGTCGGTGCCACCGAAAAGCGGCGAGCGCAAGAAGAGCGGGATTTTGGCTTTGCGCGCGACGTCGAGCTGGATCTGCGGCGCGCGCGGCGGCTCGGCGGGAAAGTCGTTGCCAGACGGCTTGCGCTCGACGCGGCCGCCGTTGTTCTTGACGGTAGCGACGTCGGTCATGTCGTTTTCGTCGACCGCCGGCTCCTTTGCTGGCTCGTCGTCCTTCTTCTTGGGCGTCGGGCGCTGGTACACATTTTCGTGCGGGCTCAAATGGTGGTGCGGCTTGGGCGGCTTCCGGAACGGGTCGTCGCGGTCGTTGGCCGCTGCTTCCATGTGCGACGTGCGGATCGGCGAGCCAAAGGTGCCAAAGAAGTTGCCCATCTTGAGGCCACCTTTGTGCGGCCGGTTGATGTTCATGCTAGCGGCGACGACTCGAAACGCGAAATGAGTGAAGCAGGGAGAAAGCGGCAGCTGTACGAAGAAGGTGCGTTAGAGAGCATTTTGTTGTATCACAATTTTCGGTGCGTGCGCCAAGATCTTACGCCGACGGCAGCTGGACGACTCGTGTAGTGCCCGTTTGTATGCATGGTTGACACATGCTTCTGGCGTCGATCAGGATTGGCGGAAAGAAGCCGTCTTATGAGCTCGTCTTCTTCTCGCAACACTCGCGCTCAGTATACGATCGCCGCTGTCCCAACCTGCTTGTGTGACTGGAGCGGGATATCAGCGTCGTCGCATATGCGTCTACTTGCTGACTTCCGTGACCGTGATGGCGTCCGACGCTTCTTCATGCTAGTAGTTCGCGCCTCCTCGTCGTACACCGAGGTTGAGGCGACGACAACGGCACCGACCAACGACTGTCGTTGCAGCGATGGAAGGCCCGGTGCGAGCGTCGTTGGTGGAAGTGACGCAGCGCTGTCACCACACGGTAGTGTCTACTTTGGAACCAAGCCCATCAATGTCGTTCGTCGTCAACGAGAAGGAGTGAGTGCAAAGTCAAGTGCAAAATGGCGTGGCACCTTCAAATACTGTCGCGGACCACTGGCAACGCGTAGCTGCGACCCTTGTACCTGGTCCCTCAATGCGTGCACGAGGCCGCTACGAGAGGCTACCAATACGAACCTTCGTTCGCAAAGAGCTCGTCGTCCTACAGCGATCCATGCGCGGGAGACTCCCTGAGAGGTTGAAGTTCACACTTGTTGCACTGATTTTGAGAGGTCCTGCAGCATCGAATACGAAGATGCTTCGATCTTGTGTACCATGGACTCGAACGCTCGGTTCCGGCGCCGCGTCGCCGACGATGAAGAGGCCGGTGTCGCCGTGAGCCCGCGCTCGGCCATGCGCAATTCTGCGCCGCGCTTCGCATGGAAGCTGCCGCTCTGTCTTCTCTTGCTCGGCTGCCTCCTTGTGTGGAGCCTCTCGGCGGGCGGGGAGCACCCAAGTAGCGAGCCCCAGCTGCGCAAGGTCATGGCGCCGCATACGACGCTTCGCTTTTGCGGCGTCCAAAAGAAGATGGTCCTTCGCGATGACCAGATCAACGACGACTACTGCGACTGTCTCGAAGACGGCCTCGACGAAGCTGGGACAAGCGCCTGCTCGCACATCGTGCCCGTGGTCGAGTTTACGTGCAAGGACGCGGCCAAGATACCAACGACCGTCGTACATGATGGCGTTTGTGACTGCAGCCTCTGCGAAGACGAAGCCTAGACTGCTGAGGCGCCCCTCCGACCTCTCTCGTTTTGCATGCTCTAGCGCAAGTCGTCCAAGACAACCCATCTCGCACTAGGATATGGAGAATGAAAATGCAAAAAGGACATCTTCCTCGACTCTGATGACGACAATGACAGCTTAGTTGTGCGTCAGCACCATCTTGATGCTGCTGTCCCGGGCGTGGCCCTCGGGCGCCTTGGGCTGGAACTTGCATTTGAGGAAGAGCTTGTACGCTGGCTCGTCAACATTGTTGCGCACGCTGGCGACGATCGCAAACACGTCCCGCCCGACCTCGGCCGACGTCGTCGCAATGTCCTATACGCCATGTGCGCCCCTCCTTGACGGACATGTCAACGATATGGCGTACCTGGATGATGTAGTCGAGCATCTTGGTGCCATGGCCTTGTTGGCGATGGGTGTCGAGGAGGCCAAACTTTTCGATGAGCGCGACCTCGACGCCATTGTCGTACGTGAAGCTCCAGCGCGCCGTGCCCACGGGTGCATCGCCGACTGCGTCACATGAGCGCCATAGATCATCATGGTCGTCGCTGCGCACCAAAGATGAGGACGTGCTTGCACGCGTTCGTCACGTCGAGGTTGTCAAAGAGAGGCGCGTCAAACATGGCCGTCGGCAGCGCAAAGATGTTTTCGCGCAAGAGGCGGCTAAAGCTCCAGTCGCCGAGGATTGGGCTCGCGTGCACATCGATGCGGAACGCGCGCAACGTCACTTGGTTGATCGGCGTATTCTTCTGCACATTGGGCATGAGCCTCTCGCCTCGGAGCAGCATGGTGGTCTACCTTGAGCAGCATTAGCACCTTGCACTTGCCAGTGTGGCCGCAGATGGGACACTTGACGCCCTACGCATGAGCCATCGTCATCCTAGCTGCATGGACCGTCCATCCTACTTGCTCGTGCTCATGGTTGCACACTCGACACAAGTTGCTGCTCATAATTTTCGACCTCTCTTGTTGCCGTCTGCTGGGATCCCGGCCCTCGTTAGAAGGCGTTTACGGAATCGCCCTCGTTACAAGCCTATTTGCCGCCTCGCAGACATGCCGAATTTAATATCGGATAATGCCGAATTTAAACAGTAAATTCGGCGTATATTGACCGACGAGGAAGCTCCATGGCGTGAGGAAGAGGAAGCTCCATGGAGCAAGGAAGGAAGCGTCATGAAGGAAGAAGACGATGTAGGTAGAGGTCAAATTTCATACATTCAAATACTTGGGGTGGGGATCTAATGCGAGGGGTGGTAGCTTTACTTAGTTTTGCGCGTCGAGCTTCGCCGGGCGACGGGCTCGTCCGCCGGAGCCTCCTTGGCCGCGCGCTTGCGGGACGCCGGCTTGGGCGCCTCCTTGGCGGCCACGGGCGCGCTGTTGCGCGTCGAGCGACGGCGCGACGGAGCAACAACCTCGACGACCTCTTCTTCTTCTTCCTCTTCCTCTTCTTCCTCTTCCTCGGCGTCTTCGTCATCCTCGTCGTCGCCTTCTTCTTCATCGTCATCCTCTTCGTCTTCATCGTCCGAAGCGACCTCTTCCAGGACGAGCGTGCCCATGACGTTGTCGTACTCGGTCGTGTCGCCCGTCGTGTGGTTGGAGGCCTGCGCCTTGAACGTCAGGAAGGACGAGTGGCGGGCGGCCGGGTTGGACGCGTAGAGCGCGGCCTCGTGCGTCGCCAGCGTCTTGGCATCCACCTTGGCAAACCACTTGGGCATGTCGAAGCGCGACTTGGAGTTGGTCGGCGCGAGCGTCATGGTCGCGACCGAGCCGTCGACGAGCGTCTGGAGGAAGGTGCGCGCGGCAAGGAGGATGTCGGCGTCGCCGCCCTTGCGCGTCATCTGCTTCTTCTGGGCAAACTTCTTGAGGAAGTCTTCCGTCGACTTGAAGAGCGGCACGTTGAGCGACTGCATCGCGTTGACCATCTCGCCGCGGTTGAGGACCGACTCGACGGCCGGGACCGGGTCGAGCGAGTACTCGGCGCCGAGGCCGTGGCGCATGATGACCGAGTTCGGGTCGCTGAACTCCGTGTCGAGCGCCGGCGTGTCGATGATCGTAATGTGCTCGCCGATCTGCGCGTCGGCCGCCACCTTGGTGGTGCGCGCTACAGAGACGACGAGCATGAGCTTGCTGCAGATCAAGAAGGTAGAGACATACGAAAGTAGGACGTGGTCTGGAGGTTCTTGCGCTTGAGCGAGTTGAAGAGCGACGACTTGCCGACGTTCGGGTACCCCACGAGCGCAACGTTGACCTTCTCGGCCTTCTTGGCCTTGACGTACTCGTGCAGAAAGTGCGTGAGCGCATCGACGTGGCCATTGTCACGCAGCCCATCGACGTCTTGCGCGCGGGCGTGGAGCGCCGACGAGGCGCGCTCCGACTTGTTGTGCTTGGTGGCTTCCTTGAACGTCTTGTTGGCGGCGCGCACGGCGATCGTCGGGTGGAAGCGGCGAAGGTACGTGACCCACTTCTCGGCCGTGTCGCGCGAGATCAAGTCGACCTTGTTGAGCACGAGAAGGATATCCTTCTTGGCCGTGCCGACGAGGCCGTCTTCGAGCGAGAGCGACCGGCAGCCCTGCGGGTCGCGCGCGTCGAGCACGATGACAATGAGATCGGCGTTGGCGACGACGTTCTTGAGGTCTTCCTTGGCCTGCTGCTTGACCGTGAGCGAGGTCGCCGCCGGGATCTGCGCGAGCGCATTGATCGTGGCCTTGTCGGCCTTCTTCTTCTCGGCCTTCTCCTTGCGGCGGAGCTCCTTGAGGCGCTCCTGGTTGGCAATCTCGGCAAGGCGCGCCTGCTCTTCCTGCAGCAACAGCTCTTCCTTGAACGGCCAGTTGTTGGGAATGCCCGGGCTCTTCTTCTTCTTGCCGGCGCCGGTCCGCTCCTTCTTGCGCTCCTTGCGCTCGTGCTCGCGCACCTTGCGCAGGATCTTGTACTTCTTGTGCAAGGTCAGGCGCTTGGACTTGGTCTTCTTCTTCACCATCGTGCTGCGACTATAATGGGTTATGAACCACCACCAGTTCTTTAAGGCAAAGTGGATCCTAACGTGTGATTGGCCATTTCTACGCCAATCGTTGGCTCGCGCCTGTTGATTGGTCCATAGATTGATTATAGTTTCGAGACGCCAGAAAGGCCATCCCGCAAAGCGACCGCTGACCATGCGCCTCTTGACCCACAACATGCTCACGTGCAACATCAAGGCGTGCGTCGCGACCGCCCGCATTGACCCGAACGCGCCGCCGGCCAACTTTCCGCTGCGCGTAAGACGCTTCGCGGAGCAGAGACCCGTAGCTATCATGCATCGCTAGATTGACGCCGCCGAGAATGGCATTGCCGTGTCCGAGACGCAGTACTCGAAGGACTTTATGTGCCACATCTTCAAGTCGATCGACTGGCGGGGGCTCTGCACGACGGTCCAGCAGGTAGGCGCCTCGTGTTGATTACGCGTAGTGAGGATGCATGCGAGTAGCTCAACCACCCGGAGCTGCCGTCGCTGCCGACCACGCTGCCGGCCAACTACGAAAACGACGAAGAGCTCCTTCGCGCTGTGCACCACATCATTTTTGGCGTACGTTTCGAGTTGCGAGAACGCGTGGGCATCATGTGCGTAGGCCGAGATCATTGAAGGCGAGCTCGTGTGCAACAACTGCGGCCGCAGCTACCCGATCTCGGGCGGCGTGCCCAACATGCTTTTGGAGGAAGACGAAATGTAAACGTCTTTGTATGTGTTTAAAGCTGTGTTTGTGACGGCCGCGTACTATCGATGGCGTCGTTGGCGAGCTGGTCGGCGACCGCGTTGGCGGCGCGCGGAATCGCACGGTACGTCACGTGCGGCAGCGCCTTGGCCTTGGCCTTGGCCTGCGTGTGCAGCGTTTGCAGCACCGGGTGCTTGACGCGGTACACGCCGAGCATTTGCTTGGTCACGAGCTCCGAGTCCATTTGCACTTCAACGCTCTCGATCGCATGTTCTTTGGCCAAATCCAAGGCGAGGAGGAGCCCGTGGTACTCGGCCGCGTTGTTGGTGATGTTCTCGCCCAAGTATTGTTTGGCCGTCGCGACGACAGCGCCGGAACTATCGACGAGGACCGCGCCACAGCCGCCAACGCCCGGGTTCCCACGGCTCGCGCCGTCCGAGAAGACAATGTGCAGGTGACGGACGCCGTGCCACTTCAAGACCCGACGTGCGAGCATTTTGATCCAAAATAATGGCAGGCCGCAAGAGCAATGTCCTATATCAGGATGTATCCTATTTTCAAACGGCAACTCTAGGCCCAAAAACGGCCGAGCGTCCAAGCCGGTGGATCTGTTTTACGCAAGGCAATGACCATGACCCCTGGTGCGCAGAGGCGCTGTAGTACATTGCAAATGCGTCAAGGTATAGCTCAGCTTACAACAGAACTGGTATTACATCAAGGGTGGTTACCAGAACAACGCCAGCTCCCAACGCCAACAGCAACAGCACGAGACATCCCTTTCTATTGGTCGTCCATTGGGCGCTGTCGGGCAATTGTACGCAGCTCGTCGGCGTCTCTTGTGATCCAAGTCGCTGACGCGGCGAGCGTCGATTACTCCAGGTCCATGTACTATTAAGCGACTGCGTTGTACTCGTCTACTAGAGTTATATACCGGTACTTCAAGCCCAATTTCCATGATCGCTCTATATATGGAGTGCTAATGGCGTCGTCGTCATCTTGGTGAGGCCGTTGGACGTTGGAGGGGTTTCAGAACCTGCCTCCTTTTTGCATTGGATGTGAGAGGGGCCGGTTACGCAGCGGCGGTTGACTACACCGTCGCAGTCCGCATTCGTCGAAGAAGCAGCAGCATGTCGGGCATCATCCGCAAGGTCACCGACTTCTACAAGAAGGACGAGTGCATCAAGTTTTACAAGTTTGGCAAGACGCTCGGCACGTACGCGTCCTCTGGGCTATAAGATCGTAGCGTCCCAACTCTGTTCTGATAGCGGAAGTTTTGCGACCGTGAAAAGCGCCGTGTGCAAGGCCGACAACTCGCACTGGGCGGTCAAGTGCATAGAGAAAGCGTCGCTCGCACCCGACGACGAAGAGGCCCTCCGCGTCGAAGTCGAAGTGCTCCAGATGGTCGACCACCCCAACATCGTCAAGCTCAAGGAGGTCTTCGACTGCCCAAAGACGTTTTATATGGTCATGGAAGAAATGAGCGGCGGCGAGCTCTTTGATCGCATCGTCGAGAAGGAAAAGTACACGGAGAAGGAGGCGCGGCTCGTGGTGCTGCACCTCGCCGAGGCGCTGCAGTACTGCCACGGCCTTGGCATCGTGCACCGCGACCTCAAGGTACCGTCTCGGTACTACTTGCCCACGTTAACAAGTGCGAATGTAGCCTGAGAACCTCCTGTACGCGACAACCGACGAGCACTCGCCGATCAAGATTGCCGACTTTGGCCTCGCCAAGCTCATTCAAGGCACCAACATGATGCAAACCGCTTGCGGTACACCGGGGTATGTCGCGCCCGAGATCCTCGAAGGCAAGCCGTACGGCGGCGAAGTCGACATGTGGAGCCTCGGCGTCATCACATACATCTTGTACGTGGTTGCAAAAAAATGTATCAAGTTGATACTGATCGTGCATAGGCTCTGCGGGTTCCCGCCGTTTTACGATGAAAACAACGCGACGCTCTTTGCGACCATCAAGGCCGGCGCGTACGACTTCCCGTCGCCGTACTGGGACAACGTCTCGGACAGCGGTATCCACAACTCCAAGTATCCAAAATTGAGATTGCGTGGCTAGCCAAGGACCTCATCAACCACATGTTGGTGGTGGACCCGAAGAAGCGGTTCACGTCCGAGGATGTACTCAACCACCCGTGGGTCAAGGACCCGAACGAGGCCAAAGACACGCAGCTCTCGAGCTTCACGGCCGAAATGCGTCGCTACAACGCGCGCCGCCGGTTCCGCGCCGGTGTCATGGCCGCGAAAGCGCTCCGAAGCATGTCGCTCTCGCCCAAAAAGATGGGCGAAGCCAAGGGCGGCGACGAGGCCGCGTCACCGACACGCCGCGGGCTCAACCTCGGCGAGAACGCTGCCGTCACGCACGGCGTGCGCCAAGCCGACGCAAAAGAGTAGTTCAATGCTCCCACCGCCATTATTCTCTAAATTTGATTTCTTTGCCATATCCTCAGCTTGGGCTTGGGTTGTCGGGCGATGGGACGCTAGAGAGTTGTGCAGCAGACAGCATGCACCTCTTCTTCATTCACCCTGAGGACGCCAATGACACTGCACCAGGTCCCTGCCAGACGTGCCTCGGAGCCCTCGCCGTGCTTCCCACCCAAGGAAGAGGAGGGCTTGGTCATGCTCTCGCTGGACGTGCAGCTCACTCTTCATGCGACTACGTACGTGGAACTAGCTCAACCTGTTCATCAATACTACGTGGTAGCGACGCTAGCACCTTGCGCGACCAAGCGAGACAGTACGACTGCTTCGTCCTCGGCAACTCGAGCGCAATCGAACTGCAGTTGTGCCAGATGCCTTTCTACTTCAATTGCGAGATTTAATGTTGCATACAAATAGCAAGTACAGAGACTATAAAATACGAGTTTGCCTTTGTGTCCAAGCATGGTCAAGCCGCGGCCCGCTGGGAAGAAGAAGCCGGGACGAGGAGCGTTCATGGCCAAGCGGACCAAGCGCGGAGGCGACAAGAAGCTGAGCTCGCGTGCGATCAAGCCTCGGATCGACGAGGCCGAGCGCCGGGCCAACGAGATCCTCGAGTGGCTCGGCGATGCGGTCCTCGACGAGCTCGTCGGGCGCAGCCTCCTGCGGCACGTGCACCTCTTTTGCTCGACGACGCACGACAACGACCTCTCCAACTTGGAGCTCTTCCGCGAACTCCGGAGCACGCTCGTGACCAACGCCAACTTGAGCTGCGTCTACGACAAGCTCTTCCCGGCCAAGTACACGATTTTGCTGCACCCGCTCAAGCTCAAGGAGAAGGCCGACCTCGTCGAGGTGCTCGTCGGACGCATTGCGTCCAAAGCGCGTCCGTCGCCATCCGAGATTGCTAAGCTCGACAGCGTCGTCTCGCACATGCTCCACGTCGAGTTCACGCAGTGGGCCGTCCAGGCCGAAGCCGACGAGAAGAGCAAGGTCAACCAATTTGAGCTACTCCAGGAGCTCCTGGACTCGGACCTGAGCGACTCGGATGCAAGCAGTAGTGACGCAGCGCCCGTCGAGGCCCTCTCGTCATTGGTGCCACCCGTTGCGACAACCATCCTCTCGGTGGTTTCCGCTGCGGAACCGCCTTCACCAACCGAGGCCGACCCGCCTTCGCCAACCGAGGCCGACCCGCCGATGCGTGACGACGAGCTATACCACGCGTTCACAGCGGTGGAGGATCTGCTACCAAATGCGGCACCGGCGTCAGCTCAAGTGGCGTCGCTGCTTGCTGACGTCGCAGCGCTGCGGACCTTGGCGACCGACCCGACCCACGTCCTCCAGACATCCCGCGTCATGTTTGAAATCTTCAAAATGTATGGCATGTCGGTGCTCAAGGAGCGATCGAGTGCGTGCTTGCTCTTCGAGACGCAGCTGGCGGCGGACCAAGGCAAGCTCACGTGGGTGCGCCAAGAGGTGCTGAGCCTCGAGAACCTTGCGGGGACTGCCAGTGCCTTGGGGCTCACGTCCTCGACGGCGTCGGCGCGCGTGCAAGCCAACTCGCTTCGCGCGCTCGTCGGCTTTGCGACGGCGATGAACCACAACGGCGCGGTCGACGCGCTTCTGGCGTTTGTTCTGTACCTCCACCACCTTCGCCACCGCACACACCTCTGCCGCAAGAGTGGTTGCCCCCTCGGGTTCCTCGACGACCGGCGCGTCATCTTTGAGGATCTGCGCGCGTGGCTGCTGCACGAAGAATCGCACTGCGTCCACTCGTTTGAGCTCTTTTACGCTAGCGTCTGGACGTCGCTGCCTCCCACGATGGCGCTCTCCGCCTTGCCGAGAAGCGTCGAGGCGACAACGACGTTTCTGCAGCGCCGGCAACTGCCCCCAGTTGCATCCGACGAGCTCACGCGACTGCAGTCGTGGTTACCGGAGCGCTGGTGTGATTTGGATACCCACTTGGTGCTCGAAGCGCCGCCACTGAGCCGGAAGCGCAAGCGCGCCAAGAGCGACGGTACGTGCTCGTCGAGTCCCAGAGCGATACGTCATGTTGTGCAGAGGTCGACGTCGACGCTGCCAAACGCGCGCGCAAGTCGTTTGCATCGTTCGCACTGCTGCAGCGGTTCGAGCACCGTCGGTTCCTCTGCTGCCTCGAGACGCTGCTCGTCGCCTTTGCCAAGGTACAACGGCATCGATACTGTCCGTCGGTGAACGCCTGGCATGTAGAACGAGGTGCGCGAGTGTGATACCTACTTGCACCAGCTCTTGAGCAACATGCGCGACGACGAGACCGACGAGCTCGCTGGTGCGATGGGGTCCCCGAGAGCGTGCTGCGTCACCGAGCACTGCCTCTCGCTGGCACTCAAAGACAACTTTTACCGGCTCCTCATGCACGAGCTGTGTCTCTTCCACCGACTGGTGTCCTCCAGTACGTGCTCTCGGTCTGCCTGTTGCTTGCCTCAAGCCTATACCTCTAGGCAAGACGGTGACTGGCGGCGTACGAGTGACCCAGATCCGTCGACCGCCCGCGTACGTCTTCTCGGACGATACGTTTACTGACGTCGACGTCGCCATCGTTCTCTGAGGTGCGAGACGCCGACACGTTGTTGCGTGTTATAACATGTAAAACGTCAAGAGCCTGTTCATGGCGTGTCGGCCCACTGCCGCGCGAGCTCGGCCTTTTCGAAACTGGGCTTGCTCAGGCGACGCGGGCCCTTGGCACTGGTCGCGGGGCGGCGTGGAGCGCAGGCGGGCGGCGTGGCCTCGGGACATTTGCGCGCGAGCGGCAGCACGTTCTCGCAGCTTTCGAGCATCTTTTTGAAGGCGAGTTCGCGCGCTGCCATGATGCGCTCGAGCGACAACGGAACGCTCGAGACGCGGCGCATGGCCACGTACACAAAGAGGAGGAAGAGATGTTCGAGGACGAGGATCACGACAAGGCGCAGCGTCGGGCTCACGCAGTCAAAGTTGGGGCCAAACACAAAGTCTTGCAGCGTCTTGCCTTCTTTCGCCAGCTCCGAGGCGTACTCCTGGACGCAACTCGGGCTGTAAAACTCCATCGCGCCTACTTGCGCTCAGATACGCTGCATGCCTCCGATATACCTGTCGAGAGGCACACTAGGAGCACCTAGTCGAGCATGAGTCCTCACGACAGCTTGTCAAGACGACGTATTACGTTGATGAGGACGGCGATGTAGGCAAAGGCCGAAAAGATGCTGCGCCAGGTGCCAATGCCGTTGGCCTTGCGCGGGTGCGGGCGCTACGAAGCGGTGGGTATCGACGAGCATCGATGGGTGTACCTTGAGCGTCCGGCAGAGGCGGTAGCCGTCCGTGCGTACTTTGAGCAGATTGATGAGAAGGCACGCCATCGGCATCGGCGGCCACAAGATGGAAAACATGACGGTAAAGCCGAATTGTACCGTGAGCGTGTGGAAGTCGTTGTACGGGTCGTACGCCGTCTGCTCGCTCTCAAAGAGCACGTCCCGCGCCTACGCCACCCACCAATCAACCTCGTCCGCTGGCCGCTTCATCAACGCGTATACTACCTTTTGGTTGAGAATCTCAATCTCAGTGGCCGTGTACTCGAGGTACCGCGTCTGGTCCTTGTTGCTAAAGTGTGCGTTCCTACATCATCGTCTGCATGAGTATACACGACACTGCGTTTGTTGTGGAGCGTACGAGGCGTCGTAGTCGAGGGACCCGAGGATCTTCATCGAGCCGCCTTGGCGCACGCGGTCTTGGGCCGCGCGGTCGGCCGCGGCGCGTGCGCGCTCGCCTTGGATCTTGCTCAAAAGCGGCATGAGCACGCCGAGGACGATGTTGAGCAGCTGCGTGACGATGATCGGCGTCACAAACATGGCGCTCAAGTCGACGTGGCGGCGGTCAAAGGTAAAGTACCCACGGCACGGCACGCACGGCGCGGCGCCGTTCGGGCAGCGCGCACAGAGCGTCGGCGATTGCAGGTCCGGGCCAAAGCAGCAGTTGGAAGGGTCTTGGAACACGAGCGTGTTGAGACCATTGGTGAGCGCATTGCCCCAGCCGGGAATCACGTACACGAACGCGAGCGAGAAGAACCACGTAAAGTAGTTGAGAAAGTCCATACCAAAGAGCTTCGTGATGAGCGCGCGTTCGTACGCCTCTTCGGTTTTGTAGTTTTCCCATATCGTAAAGAGACGACCCATATTCGTGACGACAAGGTTCCACTGGACCACGTCGACAAAGAAGCCAAAGACAATACCCTCGAGGAGGATGAGGCACCACTGCTTGGAGAGAAACCCGCTCGACGCCTTGTACTTGTCCTTGATCATCTCGTAGATCGAGACCCAGAGCGCGACAAGCATGAGCATGAGCGCGGTTTGGCAGAGGAGGAAGAGCACGCCGAGCACATGGGTCGGGTACCGCTTCCACGCTGCGTAGACTTTGATCGGCTCGCCAATCAGCGAGTCGTGGACGTCGTCGCCGTGGAAGTCTCTGTTCGGGTATTCGATCTGCTTGACAATGAGCTTGTTGTTCCACTCAAACTGCATATGGGCGTTGCGGCGGTCCCACGCTTTCAGGAACGAGAAGCTCCAGACGACCGAGACGAGGAGGCCCCAGATCGGCAAGAGGCGCATGTACGTCGTCATCGGCAGGGTGTGCCGCAAGACCTGCATGATGACGCCGCCAAGGGCGATCGGTACGAGCGCTTTTGTGTAGAAGTGCATGAGCGCAAAGTAGTACGCGACCTTTTCGCCAAAGTTGTGGCGAAGACTGTCGACGAAGGCCGAGTTGCGCCGCTCGAGGTCCGTTGAAAAGATGAAATCGGTGACGAGGGCGTTCGTACTCTTGGTGTCGTGGACTGGCAGCATCGTGTGGAGCCAGCGGTCCGACATTGAGAGCTGCGCGCGCTGCTCGATGATAAACTGGACGATTTCAATGCGTTCGGCGGGCGTGATCGGCTTTTCGGCATCGACAAAGTCCTGTGGCATGTCGCTCACACCGCCGTGGTCGAGCCACAGCTTGCGCCGAAACTTCTTGGCGTACGCGGTCGCAACCTCGTCCGACACGCGCACAAGCAAGAGGAGGTACTCGCTCGTCATTTCGCTGCTCGACGAATGACCGCCGTCAATGATGTCGATGAGGAGGCCCTGGGCGCAGAGCTTCTCAACGAGCCGCCGGTGTTCGTCCTCGCCGTCTTCGAGGAGCGGGCTGCTCACCATGCAGAGCCGCCGAAACCCGAGCCGCTCGGCCGCCGACGTGGGCCAGCACCAGCCTTCGTCCGCTATCGCGCGCACGCTTCGATGCACGATCACGACATAGTCGTACGGCGCTTGGCCACTGCTGCTCTGAAGGTCCGCCGGCGTGAGGTACCGAAACTTGCCGACGGCGCCGACGTGGCGCGGGCTCTTGGAGTACGCGAGCGACGGGCGCATACTCGAGGCCATCGATGGCACCGAGGCTGCATGGGCCAGGCCCGGCCGCTGGATGCTGGCGACGTCGTCCAGGTGCACGTCTTCGCCGACGCCGAGCATCATGGCAACGGAGCCAGAAATGCCAAAATAAATAATTTTCGGGATTTAAATTCATTTCCGACCTATACTCAAACCAAGTCCAACGGCCATCGAAGAAGATGGCGCGACCAACACTCTGGCGAAAGATTGCACCAGAAAGGCCGGTCGGATACGGGCCAGCACCAGCCTTCTCAGCCAGCAGCAACGACAAGACCAGCAGCGAGATGTGGGACACGGTCGAGTGAACCACCCTAGATCTTTGCTTGCGACTCGGCTTATACTATAGATGCGCGGGGCAGTGGCTGCGATGGCCAAGTTGGAACAGTGCATGCGAGGACGCAGTCAGCTCTGCCCAACGGTCGTCCTCATGTGTGGCGGTCTCGGGACCTGCGCACACGCACCACCTATACGCCCTTGCGCTACGCGTTGGATAGGTCGATGGCATACCGTGCAACAAGAATGTCTTACTTTACACAGCAATATGACACGACTCCCAAGTGTCTAGAGCACGGGCGCACACCAGACGCAAAGTCCTGGCAGTTGGCTTGCACGGTTGTCCATACTACGTTGCCAGGCTCGTCCTGCCGGCGTCACAAACACATAGACATGGTCGTACTCCGCAACGTTCGGGTTGGCGACCACCGCCGCGTGGACCGTCTGCAACGACGCCGAGTCGATGCTCGGCATGTCCGTAGCCACCGTCGTCTTGAGGTCGTAGACACACCGGTCTTGCACGACGACTGCGTCCACCGCACCAAACGACACGGCTCGGTGGGGAAGCCAATGTGTGGCATCCTCCAAGTCGGTTGTCAGGTAATGGAGGCAAGCGCCGGTGCTTTCACCATGCGCCACGACCTTGCCAGTCACTGCCAGCGTGCGCGACGCATCGCCCGTCGACAGCTGGAGCGCGCCGTCAACTGCGCGCTTGCGGATCGTCGCGTCAAAGAGCAGTTCGTACAGCGATTCGTTGGACGATGTCGCTGTCCATTCGAGCATTTCGGTCAAGTACGCCGTTGACAGCGACGTCGTCAGACGCCGCAGCGCACGCTTGACATCGACGACGGCGCACCGATGGGCCGCCAGCACATAGTGCACATAGTCGTGCGTGTCGTGAATGTACACCTGCTCCGTCGACGCGACGCTGTCCGGTGCGTCTCGCCACGTCAGAAGCGGGCGCTCGAGAAACTGACGAACGCAGCCGCCCACCATCGCATACCGCTCGTCCGCCGACGCGATCGTCTCGTTCTGCACGTGAGCCAAATCGCCTTTCGACCACGCGGGCAGCGCCACCGACACGCGCTCCGTGGTGTCGTGCCCACTGGCTGATGACGCAATGACGTGGCACGCTGTGAGCGCACCAAGCAATGACCCGGGTGTGATCATCTCGGACGGCGCGTACCCGTCCGCAACAAACAAAAGCGACTTGTGCTGCGAGCGGCTCGTCGACGCAGCTGCCTCCATGCGCGTGGCGAGGTTGCTTCGTGCAATGCCCGGACAGCTGGTCACGGTGTCGCCACGCACCCAGACTACCGCGTCTTGACGTACATACTCGTCTGGTTCGTTGCTACGGACTTGTGGGACAGCGCGCAAGAGGAGAATGTCAAAGTCGTGATAGACGCCGAGGTAGGCGACCCAGAGAGCGACCAACACCGAGTGACCGACAGCCCACGAGCAAGAGAGGCAGCGCATCGACGCCGCGTCCGTCATAGTACCCAGCTCGCGGTCGCTGGCATCAGGCGACGTAAAGTTGACGCGGCAGAGGTCCCACACCATCTCCATCTCTTGACGTACGTACACAGCGGGCGGGAAGCCTTCAAAGACGCTTGCGAGCGCCGGTGTCGCCAGCCACGTGCCCACTTGGACAAGCCGGAGGTCGGGGACGTCCGCCGTCGTCAACTTAACTTGAAGGGTGGCCGCATACAGCTTATCGCGCGGTTCTATCGCGAGTGAGGTTACTTGCTGTGAATCCAGGACAGGATAGGGGGTGGTTTGCTTTTCGAGAAGGAATAACGCTCGCAATCCAGTTTTCGGCTCCCATTAAGCAACCCGCTACTCCTCCCTGAGGAGGCTATGGTGGCGATTCAGGCAATATGCCTTTACGCCTCCGGAGCACCCTGTGTATCGAACTCTAAGTTTTTCAAGCTATTGATCCCACCCACCGGCCCCTTCTTGGGTGGCGGCAACCTCCCAACACAAACCATATCCTTAGCGACGAAAGCGCTGGGTCGTGTCCTACAGCGTCACAATGGCGGGGCAATTGGGCGAGTACCGGTAGAGAGCGGCCGACACGATCGCGCGCCCGTTCGCTGTCGCACCTTTCGTCCACTGTAAAGTGCAAAATCTGGCGTTTGGCGCAGACTGGACACATAGGGTTGGCAGTTGAGGGCTGCATAGCAAGCGAAGCGTACCGATCAAAGAAAATGCCGACAGACAAAAGTGATTTTTAGAATTGGCTGAAATCCTCACAGAGGAATTTGGTTACGACTGGCAACCGCGATACGTTTCACGAAAGCGATAGCCTCTTTACGTTGTAAAATGTCGGGGTCGGTGGACGAGCCAGCGTCACCGAAAGCTGCGATGCGCTTTGGCGCGTCGTACTGGAAGCAACAGCTCTTGGAGGCCAAAGATAAACTCAAAGCGACCTTGACCGTACATGGCCGAGAGCTCCAGACGATCCAGCGCCACCGACGGTGCGACACATCGATGCGGCTACCGACCGCAAGCGCGCTCGAGGACGCGCGGTCTCTCGTGCTTCGGCGTCTCATTGCACCAAGCCTGGCGCTCCAAGACGAGCTATGGGTCGAGTCGTCCTTGCATTCGGCGGTGCCAGCGCACGACGCTATCGTGGACGACGTCTCACGCTATCTCGTCGATCGAAGCGACCGCCTGCGGACGCACCGCGCCAATGTATACGATCCGCTACACATAACACGTCTAACGCAATGGTGCTAGACACTCTCGCGGCTCTCGCGGACCCATCGCGTTATGTCCGAGCTCGTCGCCGCCCTTGACGCCGAGGCCAGCTCCATCCAAGCCGACGAAGCTGCAACGACCTTGGCACTGGCGCGGTACATCCCGTATCTTGCTATCGCTGTAGATTGACGTGGGACGATAGTCTCAACGACACAAAGGCAGCCGACGTCGACGATCTTGGCCGGTACTTGAGCTTTCTCGAGGCCCAGCTCCGACACACAAAACTGACGGCGCGCTTTATGACGCACCTCTCGTGGCTTGCGGAGAGCCACCGCCCGTCGCTGCTTCGACGCATGCACGCTATGGTGCAGTGCAGTGCTCCCGCGTCGCCAAGTCCCGAGAGCGACGAAGCTGGCAGTCGCGCGGACGCCCCGCCGATCTTTCTTGTTTCGGTACTCTCGTACTATGAACGCGATCTGCACGCGCGATGATGCGTGTAGGCTGCGGCAGTTGACGTGGCCATCATCAACTTTTTGCGCAAACTGGGCTATCACGATGACCGCCCCGAGCTCGAGTCGGACGACGACCTCCTGCACGCGGTGCGGCAGCTCTTTCCGATGCATTTTGCCTCGCATTGGACACCGTTCGTCGATGACACGCGCCGCGTCACGCGTATGCGCACGACGTGGTCGCTCGGGTCGCTTTTTCCAATCGCGTCACACTGGGCGCGTCACGAGGTGAACACCCATCCGCCCGACATGCTGCTCGACGCCGAAGTGCACTTTGCACTTGTCCAAGATGTCACGCGGGTGATGGAGCGACTTGAAACGCTGGCGACGACGCATCTCAAGCGGTCCCACGCCACGCTCGTCGACGCCGATCTCGACCCGCCACCGAGCGACGCCAAGCTCAAGAGCTATTACCTCCTGCGGCACCTCTATGTACGCCACACCAAACACCGTTTTCTCGAGCTACTCAACGTCGCGTCCTCGATCGAGCGCCATATCTGCCTCGACGCCGCCAGCACCGGGCGGGATGCGTACGACGTCATCTCCGAGCCGAATTTGATTGTTCACAGCACCGACGGCGGTGTTCTCTTGTACGACGCTGCATGGGAGGAAGCGATGGCGCTCGACCGCCACCTTGTCGCCATGGGCAGTCGCTACGTGCGCAACGCGGAGCAAGAGAGTCGGACCGCGCCGATCGTGGACCGTAGCAGCACCCTTGTTGACTTGTACGATGCGGCCATGTACTTTCTCGAAGCCAACGTTCGGTTGCTCTACGACGTCTTTACGCGCCTCTATCTGCGCGTGACATCGCCCGTCGCCCAAGCCACACTTCGCCAAACGCTTGTGACGTGGGTTCATACGACCCCCCTTGTCGATAAGGACGCCTCGTACTTTTGGGATGCCTACTCGTTTCAGGTCGTCGTGCGGGACGTGCAGCGGCAGCTGCTGGTGGACATGGAAGCGCGCCTTGTGCCGACGCTTGCAGTTGACGCGATGGCGTTTTCACCGCTCGAGGCCATCGTCGACGTGGTCCAAGCACTGCAGACGGCGTTGCTGGCAGTCGAGACACGCATGCCGGCGTCTCGGGTGCTGCACAAGCTCGCGCTGGACCGCGCCGTCTTGGAACACGCTGTCGTGCTCTGGCACCGCGTTTTGGACGAAGACCACGGCTACACGAATGCGTCGAGCTCGTTCTGGACTACGTCGCGCTACGTGCAGTACTACACCGACGACACGACGTCGTCGATTGTCGCGGAAGCTGCGCGGGATCTGTCGCGCCAAAGCGGTGGCGATGCAGACACCACAATCAAGTACATCGGGCGCGCCGTGCGGTTTGTGCAGCGTCAAATGGACCTGAGTCGGCTCGTCTATGCGTCGGCGCACGTCGACGCCATGTCGCGCGCGAGCTTGGTGCCTTTTGCACTCACACCAACAGCGGCGACCGAGTTGTACCTCGAGCACCCGGTCGCGGTTGAGGCGCTCGACTTCGCTTCGTGGCCGCGACTGCGGTGCATCCTCGACTGGGTCCAAGTCCAAATCAACGGCGACGCGCCCTTGGCGTGGCTCGCGGCGACTGTGGTCGCACAGCGCGCCGAGCTTGCGTTTCAAGGCGCGTGCCTCCGCTTCAATCGGCTCGTGCTGGACCCGCTCGACGACTTTGAGATGACGTACGAGGCGCTGTTTGAAGCGCACATCGCCAAGCAGCTAAGGAAAGTGGAGCTCGACGCCAACCACCAGAGCTTTCTCATGCACCTCGAGAGCGCAGTGGGGCGGCGGCTGCTAGCGGAAAAAGTCCGCGCGCGCGTCAACGACGAGCGCCACACACTGCGTCCACTCCTCGTCCAGCCCGAGACAAGGCGTTCGTGCATTATCGCCGAGCTCAACTCGGCGTACGCGATCAAAGTCGATACGATGCATGCAAGCGAGAGCTTGGAGACTCTCATGCACGATACCCTCCGGCTCTACAATGCGCAGTTGCTCGAGGACGTGGCCAATGAAACGCTTGTGACGCAGCTCTGCCACGTCATAGCGAATCTCGATGTGATTGGCCGCCGCGTGCAGGCACCGTGTGGCAACCCGTTCGTGCCACCACAAATGGCGCCACTCGAGCGCTGGTTTCTCGACGAGCTGGTGCCGCTTGAAGACAAGTTGTCCAAACCGACCGAAACACTTTACGAGGCAAAATGGATACCAGGCGATCTCTCGCAGCTCTTGCACTTGCCCCGCGCACAGCGCATTCTGCAGTACTTTCAAACGACCGAGACGCTACTTCGCCCGACACTGTTGCTGTACCTTCGCTTTCAAGACATTGTGCACTGCCTGTGCTTTCGCGCGGTTTTGCATCGCCACGCCGTCGACGATGTTTTTGGCAACGAAGTCCGCGAACTCGTACGTCCCCCCATCCCATGGCCCCGATCTACGGCGACTGTAGGTGCACCAGCTGCAGCACCAGTGCGCGCCCGCCGAGCCGCTCGCCGTGGTCCTCGACTGGCTTCACGCCAAACGCGAGACGTCAGTCACATGCGTATGGCTCACGCTGCAAGCCCTCTTGCGCGACCCGAGTGTCGTCCCGCCGCTTCAGCAGGAAGGTACGTTGCCTCTTCCCACTCGACTTGGAAACCTCACATCGACTGGACTCCTAGGTGTGTGTACCTAGTCTTGTGACCGAGATTGCTACCATTGGCATGTACTCTAGGCGCGTGGGTTGTCGCGACGTACGGCAAGCGCAGCGCGATGCCGGGTGTCACGTTGCTCCGCGGTCTCCCCGATGCCGTCGTCCAGAACGCCCGCGTGCTCTTTAAACGCCTCGAGGCTCGCTGCGTCGAAAACAGCGCCGGGAAGGCGTATCTGCAGAAATTCGAAGCCTTCTTGGGGCTGCGCGCGAGCTACTTTGCGCAGCCGACGTCCGAGAGTGGCGAGGCCACAGTAGGTCTATGGCGCGTGCTGACCACGGAAATGGCCGCGGGCGATGTCCCCAAGAAGCAGCTCAGTCGGCAGCAGCTCGATTTGGACGTACCCGACGCCCGCATTCTCGACCAGTATATGGACAACCTGCGCAACTACTTGGAGCTCTGCCTTGTCAACGCCGACAGGGCACAGTGCACGGCGATGTTCCATCATCTTATTGCATCACCCTCGCCGCCGCATGACACACAGCATGCCACGGTACGTGTCCTCTACCACAGCAGGTCACACGCCTCTTCTAGTCGGTGCTCGTTTCGGACGTGTTGCGCAACATCGCGGCCCCGAATGCGGACGTCGAGGCGCTGCTGACGCGCTTTTGCAGTACTGTCCACACCGCCAGCCAACGGGACGCCGCTACTCGACTGCAGAGCGTCGAGCACGTCAACACGCAGCTGCGGCACGCCGTGCGCGTTTTGGAAGTCTCGCAGACCGACTTGATCGCAAAGTTGGCGCGCGCAGCACACGAAACCGAGCACGACCGCACGACTGCCGTTGTGGACAAGGTAGATGCGCGCGGCATTCTTCCAAAGCGCATTCGAATGTCTCTAGTCGTATGCGATCGTATTGGACTTGGAGCGCGCGCGGCACGAGCTCGGGCGGTTGGCCCACGAAGGTGACGTCCAGCGCGCCAACGTCACAGCGAGCGTCCGCGCCGAGTACGAAGCCAAGCTCCGCGACCTCTCGAGCGCGGTCATTGCCAAGCACGCCAAGTTTGACGAGTACCGTGCGAGTGTGCAAGCGGTAGATGCCTCTTGATCTATAGTTACATGTGCAATGTGGGCTATATGTTTGGTAGGACTTGCGCCAGCAGATTCACGCGCAGCAAAAGGCCTCGATCGAGTCCTTCATTGCATCCGGGGCAGTTCCGATGCAAGACAAGAGCCACCTCGTGCGCGGTGTGCGCGCCAACGAAGAAATCGATGTACACATCCCTCTCTCTTCCGACGTTGTAGTGAAGCAGGGTGTCTAGCTCATAATGGACGAAAACACCAACTTGAAGCACGCGCTCGTCAAGGTGCGCGCCTTGTACGAGCTGCGGGAAGCGTCGCTCGTCGCGGGTCACGAGAAAGCGCTTGGCCTCTTGCACGCCCAGCTAGCGAAGGCCAAGGTGGCGCAGCATGAAAAGACACGTCTCGAGGTGCAGCTCGAGGCATCGCGGGCCGAGATTGTGAGCTTGCGCAAGCAGCTCGCGGTCGTCGCGCTGCCCGGTTATGCGACCCGCGCATCGGCCTCGTCGACCGCCGAGCCATTCGAGACGACGGCACCGACGACGGCACCGGCGTTCTCGGCGCTTTCGTCGTTTACGCAGCGACTGCGCACCCGCCGCAGCAGCGTGGTCGCTGGTCGAGCGGACGCGTCGGCCGTCAACCTTGTCGGCAGCCCGGCGAAAGACCCGACGCCACCGAGCAAGGACGACGGCACAAACAACGACGTCGACGCAGAGGACGACGACGACGAGAGCAGCGCTGGCGTCTCGGACTCGGATGGCCCGGGAATCGACGAGCCGGAGCCGAAACTCCAGGAAGAGAACGTGGCTGTCATGCGAGCGCATTACGAGCGGGCGACACACCACATGCAGATGGAGATTCGCCGGCTCCAGGCCCAAGTCAAGGCCGAGATGCGCCTCAAGGCGTCGGCGCTCGACCAGCTCACGCACGCCCGCGCGCACGCGCAGGACCTCGTGCAGACCGAGTTGCAGCGACTGAACGACGAGGCTGTCGCCGCCAACGCCAAGCACGCCGACGCAGTACGCGAGCTTACTGCGCTGCAAGAGCTCACGGCGCCGACACCCGAGCCGTTCCGCCACACGCGCATCAACGCGAGCCGCCCGAAATCGTCGATGACGCGGGCGTTCCAGTCGCCGATGAAGCCGATGGCGCGCCCGCAGACGTCGGGGTACGCGCGGCCGGGGCCGTCGTCGCGACCTCTGCGCAGCAACCAGGCCACGGTCGAAGCCATCATGGACGCCCGACCCAAGTCGGCGTACTCGACCAAGGTCAAAGCAGTCATCCAGCACGAGATCGAAGGCGTCAACCAAGCGCTCATGCCCCGTCTCCGACCGCTTTACCGATAATTCGTAGAGTATAGGACATAGTGTACATCGGAAACGACATATTGTGAAAAAACATGATTTTTTGTGTAAATTTACGGGACATTTATAGAAAAACGAGAAACGAAAGCACACAACGGGGCTACTGGTACAAGAGAAAAGAGGTGGAGAGGAGGAGGAGGGCGCAGCCTCGTATGGAGTGCGTCGAGTTCCGAGTTGAGCTCGGCGCCGTGCACACGCCTTAGACACCGTCCTCCCTGGGCGCACACCATCCGTCAAGCTATAGCCGTCGTGGATCGCATTACCAGTCCATCTCGTTCATGACTTCGTCGCCGTCGTCATAGTCTTCGTTCTCGCTCTCGTCGGCCGTCTCCATGGCCTCGTCGTCGTCCATGTCCGTGTCGCTAATGATACTACACGTAGCATCATGAGCGCCTGCTGTCGTCACATAAGCGTTTACCTTCGGGACATGCACGTAAAGTACAAGATCTTCTTGGCCGTCTTGTGGTAGAAAAAATAGTTGAACGACCAGAGCGTGCCATCGCTGAACGGGTCCGAGCAGCCGTCCATGTCGGGGATGTAGCTGTAAATCTCGCAGTCGCGGGGCGAAATCGCGCCAAAGATCGAGTCCCACAGCTTCTCGAGAAAGCCCATGTCGTCCATCTCGACAATCTCGGCCAGCTGCGCGTTCACGCCGTTGACGACCATGCGCAAGTCGACCTCTTTCTGGAACTGCTCGGGCTTCAAGTCGGAAAAGTCATAGTCCGGAAACGACGCGTTCATCGTCGAGATCAAGTTGATGAGCAGCTTGCGCGTGTTGGCGTCGGCGAGCGACCCGAGCGGGTTGGCGCTGGCTTCGCCGACCGCCTGGTACTGCAGCTGGAGGCTCTTGGCCAGCTTCTTGTCGGCGCCGGCCTTCTTGCACGAGAAGCATTCGATGCGGCCGTTGATGACCCGGTCGCCGACGCTGACCTCGCTCATGGCCGCGTTGGCCCAGTCCAGGCTCGGCTCCTCGAGGTACTTCATGCTTCTTCTTGGTGTTGGACAATCTTTTTTTGGAAATACCCGTCTATTTGCGCAATTTTGCAGTATAAAAAAGAGTCGCCGCCGGTTAAGCGCCTCTTTTTATTTAAATGCTCGCCCTTTCACTTGGTCTTTGTATGTAGATGTCGCAGAACATTCTCACGCGGCTTAAAAAAGCGTATCCACAGCGTCGCGGCAGATTCGCGCAAGGCAGCGTATCCGGACAACCGTTCCACCTCGTGCTGGGGTTTGTATGGACGTATCCGGATACCAAGAAGATTCAGCGTGCCACGTGGTGGGCTTCTTCAAGTGGGACCCCGGGTGGTATATTTTAAACGATCGGCTGCGTTCGTTGTGGTTCTTTGTAGGGATAATAAAAACAAAGACTTTTTAAAAAGGTGCAGACGAGGGTCGGGGCCCTACGCAAACGATGAAACAGGCGCATCGAAGCAGCTATCGAAGGATGCGCATCGACGAGGCCAAGACCGACGCCGACGTCGAGACGGTCTTTGCCGTCTCGGCGGCCGTCTTTGGCGGCGACGACGACGAGAAACATGGCCTCGCCGAATGGCGCCGCCGTCGCCAGGTGATGCATGGGCGCATCTTCTACGTGCCATCGGACGACGGCAGTGTGCTTGGCTTTGTCTTTGTGCATGCCCATGCAACGTCTGCAAAGACCATGCACGTGTGGATCGCTGCGACGCATCCGTGCGCACGGCGCCAAGGCGTCATGCGGCGCTTGTTTCAGCACTGCCGTAGCACCTTTGGCGGCGACCACGAGCGCCTCACTGTCAATACGTTTCCCGCCCGCTTCCCGCACATGCCGCCGTTCCTTGCTGCGCTCGGGTATGCGCCGATTGGCATTCAAGGCGAAAAGCACTGCTACGCCCTCCAGCTCGAGCCTGCAGTGTAGAAGTAGCGTCACCCAACGAGCTCGTGAGGCTCTCGATGCAGCCGAGACACGACCGACGCACGCAGTATGTACCTAGGATCCCCAGGACGTGTAGACGCGTGGCGACATGACGGCAGCAACTTGATCTTTTGCAAACAAGATTGTGTGGCCCAAGTTGCCCTTGCATCGGCCAGCGAGCTCGTTCACTACATGGAAATCTCTGGAGGAGGACATAAGGAGCTGCTGACCAGGCTCGTATCGCATTGCGGCCAACCATGAAGCCAAGGTATGAAGGAGATAAGCTTAGTTGGCGCCAAGCCGTAAGGCAATCGAGCGTACCTGGTATTTCGAGCCGATCCGACGACGGAGAGAGCTTCGTTTGGCTCACGCACCAAGCTAGCTGGTCCGGAATGCAGCGGGCGACACCACTGGCCCATCGTCGATGTCCTGCGTTGAAGCGTCTTAGCTCTGATGGACGCAAGCAACACCCCACCTCGGCAATGTTCTTGCGTGCCAACCGACTCGCAAGGGTCTATCAACAGCAACCCTTGCGACTGGACACCATAGAGAGCGTCTCAGCGTCTCCACGAGCGAGTGTGCCATACACTGGCAGTCGAGAGAGGACATAGAGATCGAGTTGGCGCGACTCGTCTTGCATTGCCAAGCATCGGACGTCGTCCTTGCGCCGGTGTATCTGTTGCTACGATAGAAGTGCTTCCGTAGCTTTGCACCGACCGTGAAAGCTCTGGTTGCATGTCATCGTGGGCTCAACCACAATGGCTGGCGTCCACCAAGCCTCTCAAGCGCCTTGTCGGACGAGGACATATCTCTATTCTAAAAGCCATTACGCACAGCGCTCGAGGATGGCGCGGATCGAGGCGTCCGTCGTTGAAGCCCAAAGCATCTCCATCGAGAGCTGGACATCGACTCGGAACGACGCATCGATCGAGTCGTCTTGGACCACAAGTGCGCACGCTCGGCACGCCTCGGCGCTGAGTTCGACGTTAGAGTCAATCGCGCGGCCAAGGACCTCGATCGCGTCAGTGGCGTGGCGGGCCGAGAGCGCGGCCACCAACGCACGGCTCAGCAACCGCGGACTCGTCCACGGCAAAACGCCGTGCGGCAAGCTGCGCAGAAAGGCAAGCACCGAGACCTCGGTCGGTGGCATCGTCTCCAGCACGTAGTCAACATCCACGTCGCTGAGAGGCGGGAGGCCCGCGGGTCGCTGCTGGAGCAACGTTGTCATTGTGCGTGCGTCATTGCAGGTGGCGCAGAGCTGTAGCACGGCCGAGTGGAGCGTCGCAAGGTGACGACCAACGTCTTGCTGCGTGTACTGCGTCGCGACCTCGGTGAGGATCGAGGCCGACTGCTGGTCTCGCAGCGCAGCGTATGTCAAGAGACCAAACACGCTGTCGTCGAGCTTGACGGCTTCCGTCCACACGTAGCAGCGCCAGAGCTGCAGGGCTTGGTCCATCTCGGCGGCGGTCGCACTGCCGCTTGGGCGAATCCGCAAGAGGTCGGCCACGCCACGGGTGAGCGCCACCGGAGCGTTCTTGACCACGCGCGGGTACGCTTTGTAGAGCGAGTAGAGGCTCCAGTGCGGTTGGAGACTGCGAAGCACGCTACTCATGTCGTCTTCGGTCGCCTCCAAGTGGTAGTACTGCAGCTCCTTGAGAAGCAGCTCGACCGCCTCGTGAGCGTTCTGCGCGCACATGAACTGGAGCAAGGCGCCACTAAAGTGGTACCCCGCATCGTGGACGTCAGTTTGGCGGGCCGTCGCGACCTTCCCATCTACGCGATCCGAGTGAGCTACCAGACGGCAACTCAACGGCACCTAAAAAGTCGTCCTTGTAGCGAGCTTTGAAGCGGTGGCGGTGCAGCAGCCCGGCGGTCGCCCCCGCGTGGCCATAGGCGACGTCCAGAATCGAAATGCCACGGGACTGCGCATGGTCGAGCACGCGCGTCGCGACAGTTGGGTGCTGGAAAAAGGACGACGCGCTGACGGCCAGCGACAGCGTCCGAGTCGTTGCGGGCAGCACGGTCGGGTACGCCTCGAGGAGCTCGACCAAACAGTGCTCTAGCGATGAACGAAAATGTCATCGAGTCGTATCCACGACGGCGTCCTGACGTACCAGATACTGGACGCGACGATGGCAGGAGCGTGTGGTACAGCACGAGGGCTTCGTCGATGGGCAGCACATACGCATGCGTCTCCATAAACGCGAGCACGTCTGCGACCACGTCGTACTGCTGTTGCGTACACGCGTGGATGAGGAGAAAGCCGAGGACGTTGGTTTGTGACGCATCGGCGAACGCGCCCTGGACGAGGTCCACGTAGCGGCGTTGGACGTGGTCGATGGCGTGGCCAGCACGGAGCATGGCTACGAGCACGTTGGCATGCGTGGAGAGCGGAAGCGGCCCGGGTGCGGACGCGGCCACATCGAGAAGCGTCGCGTACGCCCTTGCATCGAAGAGCGCGCGCAAGACGGCAGGCGCGATCGCTGTCTCGAGCGTCACGTGCAGCGGTGCCAGGAGCGGCGCAATGTCGGCCACAAGATGCGGCGCGGACTCGAGTGCAAGGCGCAAGACGGCGTCGACCGAGAGCGTTCGCACAGTATGGGGGACGAGGTCGGCGTCCAAGGCCGCGAGCTGCACGAGCGCGTCGACGGCCGTCGCCGCGTTCGACGTCGCCAGCGCCGCCAGCAGCACCTGCTGTAAGAAGAGACTGGTCGTGCGCGGGAGGTACGTGGGTTTACGCGCAAAGATCTTGGCGTACAGCACGTCCAGGACGATGCTCGATTGGTGCGATGCGTTCAAGCGAGCCGCCTCCTGCCACAAAAAGCCTATCATCGCATTGAGAACCAAGCCTGTGGTAGGCGTCACGCAGCGCACGCTGGTTCTTGGGGTTCTTGAGGATCGTCTTGGCCTTCTCAAAGGACTCGCCGTGGAGCGTCGGCGTGCCATGGCGGTCCGACTGGTCCAGCGCGCGGGCGAGGCCGTCCGGGAAGACCTGCTGCATGTGGGCGGCCACCGCGCGCTGCAGCCCAAGGCCGTCGGCCATTGCATGCATCGCCACGCGGCCACGCGCCAGAGACCGCAGCGGCGTCGTCGCGCGAAGGAACGGCTGCATGGCGCTCTGTCGTGTTTTTGTCCGCTATGAATCCACTCGATTTGATTGGTTAAAAAGACGCGATAGATTTTGTCCAATCCCATGGCATCAATATCAGTTGGACCTTTGGTCGGCAAGTACAACTTGTCGACAACACGTGCGACAACAAGAAACAAATGTATCGACAGGAGCGCAGAGTCGTACGACCACGTAGCACAGGGTCCTACCTATGTCCCGGACCGACATGCGTCTGCACCAGAGGCGTGGCGAGGACAGCAATGCATCCAAGGCCCATGAACTGGAACCTAAATGATGGACCCTAACAGTCCTTCTGCTGCGGTAGTGTGTACACACCCACAACGTTGCCGGCGCCGCCCACCGCCGGTCCGAATCCGTCCAGGCGTCACGCCAACGGTACCACCCAGCCTCAATGCGATGCAGCCTCTACGCCGCCGTGTTGACGTCCAGAGCTACTATGCCATCCGTGCTCGTGAACCTTGCGGTAGCCCATGCATGCCACTTCAACTCCACCGGGAACACCGTGGCCCGCCTCATGCCGGAGCGTATATCTCCACCGCAGTGTCTGATCCGACAACGACCAGCGCGGACGGTAGATACGCAAGGGACGAGCCGCGACGGCCGTGGGAGCAGCGGCGGTAGGTACACCGCAATGTAATTGGCTGGTCGGCTCGCGTTTCCACGAACGAGGGTTTCGGCGTGTGCCACGTGGTGGCCCTTGGTTCGCCAGCGCTGACGTGTTGCTTCGTCACCCGATGGCGCCCGTCGCGACGGCGTCCAAGCGGCGCAGCGACCGAGGTGGACAGCAAGCAATGGGCGAGCTCGAGGTCGACTAAGGATACGTCGATGACGCAGCGTGGCGCTGGATGACGCAGCGTGGCGCTGGATGACGCAGCGTGGCGCTGGATGACGCAGCGGATTGGCGCATCCGCGTTAAATTGGGCCAATCGCACGCGCCGGTGCAGTTTTTCACGGGCAAATAAATACGGCGAGCTGTTTTTGGCAAGAACAAGGTTTCCTTGAGCATGAGCCGCTTGGTCTGGCTCGTCGGCGCCGCGCTCCTGCAACGCGCCGCATGTAGCCTCGAGGCCGTCGACGTGCGCGACCGAGCCATCTTGCTCGCAGGCCATGTGAGCGGCCAGCTCGTCGCCTTTGACGCGTGGACGGGCGAAGTCATCAACTCGATCGACTCGGGCGGCCCGCTCGTGACCAACTGCCGCCCCGAGTTGCTGCGCGGCGCCTTGCACCCGCGCATTCCACGCTCGATTGGCGCGAATGGCGCGGCACCGGCGACAGATGTGGCGCTGGCGTCGTCCTGGTCGGCCGAGCATAGCTTCCTCCCCAATCTCGCAAACGGCGGGCTGTTCCACTACGAGAAGCATGCGCAGCAGTGGAAGCAAGTCGAGCTCTCGACCGACGAGCTGCTACAGGCCAAGACGCCGCTCCGCGTCCGCGGCAGCCCCGAACTCGCCGACGTGGTGTTTGTGGCTGAAAAGACGCAGAAGCTCTTTACGTTCGACGCGCACACGGGCCAGATGCACCCGTTCTTCTCGCCCGACGCGCCGTCTGTGCTCCTCAACGACGACGACGACGACGGTCCGACGGCGCGCATGCTCTTTGGGCGCGTCGACGTCACGACCAAGATGGTCAACGCCCTCGACACGACCGATTTCAAGTGCGTCACCGTGTCCGAGTACTTTGTACAGTTTGCGTCACACGCCACGTGCCAGCGCGGTCCGTCACCGGCGTATCGAAGCCCGTACATCGACGTGTCGCGCAGCGACGCCGGCACTTCGCTCTCGATCTACGACCCGCACTCGCACGCGCTGCTGTGGTCCTGGGACGCCAATGGCGCGCTCACCATGGTCTACGGCATGCTGCCGCACTACGGCGTCAAGTTTTACGACTGGTCGCTGACGCTCAAGGACGACTCCCACGACGACGAGGCGTGCCCGCTGGACGCCGAGACCGACGCGATCACCGATCTCGACAACGTCTGCGAGCCGAGCCCGACGCAAGACGACCTTGTTGTGGGCCGCGTCGCAGGCCAAATGTACCTGCTGCCGTCGTCGCCGCCCCCACGCCCAACGTCCTCGAAAAGCATCAACTACACGGGCCGGCGGCCGTGGCAGTCGGTCGTCATCGACGGCAAGCAAGGCGTCTTCATCTCGTCCAACAGCATGCTATGGATCTGCGTCATGGCTGTCTCGGTGGCGCTGGGCATTGCACTTCTCCTGTACTACTGGCGGTCCAAGACACCGTCGGCACCGTTGTCGCCGATGGCTGAGACGCCGACACCGCCGTCGGCGCCCAAAGCGTCGCCCCGCATGTCGCCCAAAGGCTCACCGACCGCGACGTTCCTCGGCAGTCCAACGCTCTTTCGCATGCACACGGAGGACGACGTGCACCTACCGTCGCTCGTGACCATGTCGCCGGGTCGTATCCAGCGGTCGGTCTCGTTTGGCGGCTTCCCGTTGGAGCCATCGAAATGGAAGATGCCCGAGCTCAAGCTCGGGCACCGCCTCTCGACGGACGAGTCGGAGGCGTCGCAACGGTCAGCTCAGAGCGACACCTTGCATGCAACCGGAACGCCGCCGACGTCCAGCACGTCGTTGGCACCGATGACACCGACGCTAACCACGACGGTCGTGCTGGACCAAGACTTTCGCAAAGTGCTGCCGTACATTTGTCGCGGGCGGTTCGCCAACGAGTTTGACGAGCTCTCGGTCCTTGGGAAGGGCGGGTTTGGTCAAGTCATTCTTGCTGAGAACCGACTGGATGGCCGTCGCTACGCTGTCAAGCGCATCGGTCTCTGCCTCAAGCACCAGACCAAAGAGACGCTCGAGAAGGTACGCGCTGCTGACACGTCGTCGTCACTTTGAAGTGTGCTAGTTTTTGCGCGAAGTCAAAATCCTCGCTCGGCTCGATCATTCGTACATTGTGCGCTACTACCAGGTAGAGAGTGCCTCCTTCTGGCGCGTCATGTTGACGCGCGTCTCGGATTAGGCGTGGCTCGAAGAGCTCGGGGAGGCCGACTCGGTAAGCTTTGCCGCGAGCTCCGAAGACGCGTCGAGTCCGCGCTGGATGTCGTCGACAACCGACTACTCGAAAGGCAACATACTTCAGCGCCGCTTCTCGTCCGACGACGATGACTCGCCGTCGACCCGCCAGCGTCCCAAGCGGACGACGTTCTTTCACATTGGCGACGACGACGACGACGACGACGACGACGATGACGATGCGAGTCGCGACTCGCTGTATGCCCCGGCGCCGCACCTTCACGACGACGACGACGGTGGCTTTGAGTGGGAGGCCAGTCCCAACGACGACGACAGCAATGACGCGTCGGCGTCGATGGCGCAGTGGTCGGAGAGCGATCTGACGCGGCCGACACACGAGCCGCGGTCGGCAGTACTCGACACGCTCCGCTCCACGACCAACGAGCGCATCGACCACTGGCTGTACATTCAGATGCAATATTGCTCGGCCAAGAGTCTCGCCGACGTCCTCGCAAGCTCCGACCGGGTCGTCGACGTCCCCCACGTCCTGCGCGTGTTTAGTCAGATCGCGTCGGCGCTCGAGCATGTTCATTCGCTTGGCCTTATCCACCGCGACCTCAAGCCGGCCAACATCTTTGTCATGGACGAGGCCGTGCAAACTATCAAACTCGGCGACTTTGGCCTCTCCCGGTACGCCGGCAGCACGGGTCTACCGGACGCCGGCGCGTCGACGACGACGACACTGCTCCAAGAAGACGACGACGACGCGGACGACGACGACGATGAAAAGACGGCGGGCGTCGGCACGTACCTCTATGCGAGCCCCGAACAGATCTCGGGCGAGCTCTACTCGGCCAAAGCAGACCTCTACTCGCTCGGCATGATCCTCTTTGAGCTTGGGCACGCGCCGTTTGGGACCGCCATGGAGCGCATCGTGACGCTGCGACAGGTGCGCGACGGCAGTATCCCGCCCGAGTGGTTACCACAGAGTCCCGAGATTGTGGCGTTGGTCCGCCGTCTCGTGTCGCTCTCGCCGGCCGAGCGCCCGACGGCCAAAGATGTTGTGCAGTGGTGCCATGCGCAGACCAAGGCCAAGCGCCGGTTTGACGCCAACGTCCACTTGCTGCAGGTGCAAGCCGGTGTAATGGACGACCCGACGTTGTACCACACGTTGCTGCTCGCGCTCTGCGAGGTCATTCGCGCCACGAGCGGTAACGTGTGCATTCTTGCGTGCGGCCTCCAGCAGCACAGCACCCGCGGGCAGCTCCTCGAGTTTTCGCTGCAAGCGGACGACGACAGCACGATCGACGACGTGCTCAACGCGATTGCCCGTGTCGACGGCGTCGCCACTGTGGAAAAGCTCCACTAGACCCGAGCGCCAACCAGTTAACTTAAAAAACGTAAGAAACGACCGAGGAGCACAAGGGATCGAACCTTGGGCGGCGTCTCCTTCCTATGGTGCGACGTGTGTGCTTCTAGACAAGCAAACGAGCTGTTGTGTACGCAGCGAAGGACATGTGTCACCTCGAGTGCGACTACTGTCACCTGTCTGTCTCGTGTGGCAAGATATGGTGGGTGTCGACGACCTGCTTGCTGCACTATCGCGTCAAGGCGAAAGATATGGGAGAAAAGAACTCTTATTCATGGATGGGAGGACGCAGGAGACGTGTCCCTGTTGTCAGTGGTGGTGGTGGTTAGGGGTGGCGATGGAATTATTGGCCCCTCTCCGTACTAGTAGCGACATGGATGGTGATGAGTGCTCCTTGGCGTCCTACGTGTGGCTGGCCGTCCCGACTGTTGGTTTTTTGAACAGTCCAATCGAGCTTGGCCAGGCGCCACACCAGCAGGACGATCTTGGCGCATTCGCCCAGGGCATTGGCCGCCCAGTACCCTCGCAGTGCGTAGCGCCACTCAAACACGCAGAGGTACGTGAGCGGAATAAAGAGCAGCGACGCGCCGGCGTTTTTGACGACCAGCGCATACCGAGAGAGCTCGACGGCGTTGGCGCCCGAGCTCAGAAGAAACCGGAAGAAGATGAGGCCAATGCACAGGCCAAACGGCAGTATTGCGCCATCGCACAGGTCGAGCACGGCTTGGTCGGACGTCCAGAGACGAACGACTGCCTTGTGCACGGCGGCCAATACACTTAACAGCAGCGTCACCATGACGGCCATGAGGTAAATCCCGAGCACAAGGTACGCTTTCGCATCGGGCAGGCTCCCCATGCCAATGCTGCGGGCCATGAAGATTTGAGTCGCGGCCGAGAAGCCGCTCACGCACGCGTACACGACACCAAAAAGGCCAAAGAGGACGGCATTCGCGGCCGAGTAGGCCGGGTCCAGCGTGCCGAGGACCATGCCCGCAACGGTCAAGCTCGCCCAGTCGACGGCCGACGACGCCCCCAAGGGCAGCGCGAGCGCCAAAAACTTGGTCCAATGCGCCTGATCGACGGCAACGCGGGTCCAGCCGCCCCAGTACGGTACGTGGTAGCGCCGCCACACCATTGTGTAGACGCCAAAGAGAAGCAGTTGCATGCACGAGCTCACGACAGTCGCGAGCGGCGAGCCGACAAAACCGATGCCCGCCCATATGCCAGGAATGCCGTTAATAAACACTTGGTTGAGAAGCGCGTTGAGGATCATGGCGATAATACTTGTGATTGTTGCCGACTGCACAACGTTGATGGTTGCAAAATACGCCGTGAGGCAGGCGTAAAGGTACCGCGGAAGAAGGCCGGTGGCGAGCACGTCGCCATAGAGTTGGCCAAACGCGATGGTCTCGTCATCTCGCATGGAAAGGCCGACGAGGGGACCCACAAAGAGGTGCACGAGCCCGACAGGAAGGCACGCACCCTGTGCAAACAGAATGGACGTTTGCAGCCAGACGCCAATCTCCTTGTGCTCCCCGGCACCGTACGCGTGCGACCCGAGGATCGTGATGGCGGGAATTGCGTATTGCACAAAGTTGAACGGGACATTGATCCAGAGGTTGGCGAGCGCGGCCCCCGCGAGCTCTTTCGTGCCGAGGTGGCCAAGGAACGCCGTGTCTGTCACGAGCAAAACGCGCCGAACCATTTGGTTGACCGAGAGCTGGATCGCCATCGAGAGGAGCGACCTAAGTGGCGACTGGAGACTATCGCGCGCACGGCTTTCGCGTGCGTTCGCGGACAGAGCCTTGGGGAGGAGGTTCTTAGCCTCGACGCCATCGGCGCTTTTACTCGTGCGCATACCACGTCGCGAAGCTGTCAACGCACAGCTTTTGGCGGGAACGGTTGGCACTCGTATCTACAAATGCAGTACGTAACGCCCCAGCAACCATTCGTGGACTCCAGCTTGATCGCCCAGCTCCCCAAATTCTAGTTTCGGCCGAGAGTTTTCAGAGCATGGCTCTGGAACTTTGCGCAAACACCACATGTAAACATCGCTAGAGTCACCTCCGTGAACTGCCTCAACGGCTACGGTCTCTTCAACGGCGGCGGTGGCGGCGGCAACACCAACACCAACACCAACACCAACACCAACACCAACACCAACACCAACACCAACGGTGGCGGCGGCGGCGGCTGGGCCTAAGCATCTCTCCTCGTCGTCTCGTGCATCGTCAATATCTACTATGTCAATACAAGTCCTTTTCTTCCATCCATCTCGCTTTTACGCCTCGACTTTGCTACCTTTTACGCCTCGACTTTTCGACTTTGCGAGCCAGTGTCGAGCTTTTTGCCGTCGTCCAGCGCCGTTGCACTGTCGTGTGAAAAAGCCATTTCGGAGGACCTCGCTCGCCAGCACGGCAACGGCTCGGCGCCGAGATGACCAGTCGCAACGTTGTCGCGACGTTGTTGTGACGTTGTCGCGACGCTGTCGTCACGCTGTCGCGACGGCGCCGGTCCGGCCTATGCCTCACTGCCTCACTGCCCGACGACCCGACCGGTGCTTGGCGCTGCAACCCTTGTCACCGGCGTCCATGTCGCCGCCACCCGACGACGCAATGATCCCGGCGCTCTCGCTATCTTTTTTTAGTTGTCCAAGATTTCAATCCCAGCCATCTGATTGGTCCATTCGGATACTGCCAGACGCACACCGGTGTCACGGTCGCATCGAATCGACGCGAGCGACGTACACACGTCGGTGCATCGTAGAACCCGCTCGCTACTAGAGACCACACATGCCAATATGAACTTCGTTCTCTCAGTCGGCGCCTGCCTACTGTATGTACTGTACAAGAGCAAACGGCCGTCGGCGACGTTGCACGATCCCTGTGTAGAGTCGCCGCCGTGACCATGCAGATCACATTGCGTCGAATCCAGCGCATGAGTGGACAATGAGCCAGAGTTTCCGAGTTTG